GCGCCGGACCGCGATATGTCAGGTTAAAGTGGAGATGAGATATGGAAGGGCGGCGGTTTGGCCGGTTTCTGGTTGATGACGCGGGGTGGGTGCCTAGGAGAGGGGGAGGCTGGAGGAAATTGCTCGGATGGGCTGGTGACGACGGTCTGGTAGTATGTGTGAGTGGAATGAGAGAGGTCGCGAGCTATGTAATGATGGTTTATCCCAACTTCGTAATCATCTGGTACACGCGGTACATGCTGCTGACTCGATGGAAACGGCACAGCAATCTTCCGTGTCCAATAAATCTGCGGCATTTACAAGCATCTTAAATAGAGGTGCTAACTTGCTCATCGACAATTCGCTTTGAAACGACGAGTACCATGCATGCTGATACTGAGTATGCTCAAGACATGAACTCGTCTAATGGTCAGCTATCAGGACGCTCTTGTCTCTTCAAAATCTTGATAGAAAGCTCTTTATATAGAAGAAACGAGTGGCTCACAGAGTTCAATACGTGCCCTAGGTAGAGATGTGCACTATTGCTCATCTATTGATCCATACAAGCAAATCTCCACAAGTATCTCTAGGGTGGATTTGATTAGATAGAAGCTCGCAAAGAGCAAGCTCCTTCGCATTTAGCACAGGTCTCCGCCACAGTATTTACTTGAAGCCTTCTAGCTGTAAACAAGCTAAGCGTCGGAGTTGAAAAGCACACTACCACTGGGCGGTACTGAACATGTATATAGCAAGTAGAGTCAGTAAGTCCGTCGGCTTGTTTCACGTAGTGCCATCGCATGTGCTCCTACCATGCTAGAAATCTGATAAGACTAAACATGTGAGTACTTGCATGAGAGATACTCGACTGTGCGCAGATGCTGGGCTGTCTCTAGACCTAAGTTTGTAAGAGTCTTAACAGCCCGCAGCTGTTCGCAGGTCCAAGTGATTTCGGGGCAGCACGGCATTTTGCTTAATCAGAGCCAACAAGCTACCTCATAGCTTAGAGTTCAATTGCTACGCGAGCTCAATTTCATGATGCGGTACGGTGCATCATTCATGCTGTATGGCCTTGACCCTCCGGCTTTTCTCCAACGGTTCTCCATGCATAGACGAAAGCAACCCTCTTGGTTGAGACATCTACTCATACTCTAGCAAAAACCAAGCAAGGATAGCAAATTGTACGCATTAGTCAAACTTACCAGCTATCTGCATGTGTGGCCCATGACCACAAGAAACCTCAGTACAAGTACCAATACCGCTAACCCATCACTTCTTCTTGCGTAAGCGTTTCTTCTCTTCTGAACCCATCACAGGCATATTCCTCAAAGCCCGGAGAACATGTTCCCACAACTGATCCCGTCTGAGAGCGTGACGAAGCAGATCGCGTCTGCGCACTCCTGCAAAAGGCACGGTAGGCTGAACATTCGCATTATGATTGTGGGCGTGTTCAAGGGGTGGAACTCTGGCTGAAATGTTGTTTGTGGGAGGTTCGGGGGCTGGATGTGGATTAATGAGGGGGTCGTCTTCACCCATGGCATCTACGGCCTCATCTACGTCTGAGTCTGTGCGCCTGTCGCGTGGTGCAGAAGACTGTGGTAGCCAGTCTATGGAACCATCCAGGTTTGAGCTCGTACATTTACTGCGTGATCCAGACGACGGCCGACTCTCGAACGAAAATCTCCTCCTGGTAGCCCTGGTAGAGGAGTAACCATTGCCGCCGTCTCTGCCGTCGCCTGGCGTGAAGATTCTGCTCTCATTAGGTAGCCGCCCTAATGCTGCTGACACTCCATCTAGTCTTGTAGCCGTGCCTCTTTCTTCTTCTGCCTTTGCATTTTGTTCGTGGAAATGCAAAGAGGCAGCATCTGACAGGTCACTCGAATCCCCGGATAATGCCGAGTAGTGCGACTTAGGGGAGCCCGGTACGTACACGTAGGTTCCATAATCATTTGCGGGGATCCAGGAAGGATCGTTTATGTCGGGAAGTATGAAGCCGTTCCTAGAGCTGTTTCCAGATTCGTTGGGTATACGTTCGCCTTGGTCATCGATCCTGGAGCCATTGTCGGGCTCGTTGAGTATATCTTCCGCTAAATGGTCGTCTTCATGGCCGCGAATATGGCTGCCTCCAGGCCCATTCGCTGGTTCGTCCTCTTCGAGAGGTTCATCGTCCAGTGGTTCAGGTGTCCCAGCACCACCTCGAAGACAAAGTAGCTGTCGCCATAGCGGTACAGGTTGCTCAGCTCCTTTCCCTGAACCTAAGGGCTGTCGGTCGCCATTATTCGGTGCTGACGGTGGCAGTATAGGTTGCTGAATATCTCCCTGCAAAGCGTGCCAAGCACTGTATGCCTGAACCCAAATATCGTCATTGCTCGAGGAAGAAATCCAAGTTTCAAAAGCGGCGCCCAGGCACTTTGAGTCTTGTCCCGGTGGTGCATCAGTATGGTTCTTTCGAATGCGATACTTTGAAAATCCGCGCTTGAACCCTTCTGTGCATGCCTTCTCTGGTGGTGGCCACTTCCATAGGCTAGGAGGGCCACCAGCACCATAGGCCGTTGTGGCTCTGGCTCTGGCTGCGGCGTTGGCGGGTGCTTCGGTTGCAAATCTGTTTGTCGCATTGACTTTGACTTGCGCTTTGATAGTAGGTGTCCACCGCTTCGCCGATATCCAGAAAGATATGGGTGTTCGCAAAGTGACCGCACTGGAATGCCAGTGTCTATCCCGTATAGGAAGCCTCCATTCTTCGTTCACGGTGAGATCGTTCTCTGACATCGCTCTCCGCTCTATGCGAATCGAGCGGCCGGACGACACGTTGTCGTGGCATTCGTATGAATTGCTAGATGCAGCTGCTGGTAGCGCGAGACCGACCGTTGTTGATGCAGTCGGTACTGCAGATTTTTGGCTGGAAGCATTGCCGTCCACAGATCTGGAACTAGCCACACGAGTGTCGGATGTTATACTGCCATAGGATGGAGTTCCCCCAATCTTCCACCACGAACTCGCGTCTCGACCCGCAATTGTAGGCGATGAGCGTTGAGCTGGATGAGTGTGATGTCCGTCGAAGTTGGCCCAAGGGTTCGTGTTCGGATTCACATCATTGGTAGATGGAGTGAAGTTGCCACGCGAATTGAGCGTGGGTTGGACGGAGCCTGGAAGACCCACTGTACTCTCTGAATGTCTTCGTCGGCTAGGTACGGGCGCGGGTATGGCCTGTTCGGAGGTCGAAGATGCGGGTTGCGGTTCTGAGTTGATTGACTCCTAGTCAGACCTCGAAGGCCTAGTTTGCCTGTCAGTGACAAGCACTTTGAATGTCAGAATAGCACGCTCACCTTGAGAAGTTCCTTATGTCCGCCTTCCTAGATTTACCCTCAGATTCCTTGGGCTCTGTAGCGAGTGGGATTTGCAGATCTGATTCATGCGTCTGTACGGCGGAGGGTGTGGATATGCCGTCCGGATTGTTGTCGTCTTGCGAGTGAGCAGGAGCTGCCATGGTAGTGATGAGTCGACGAGTGATGGTTGAGTAACGATAGCAGAGAAGAGATACTGTTGGTGATACAAGCGGTGGTGATATAGAAAAAACTAATGTTAGTAAAGTTGCGAGAGAGAAGAAGTGGTGACCTTTGTGAATTCGAGCGCTTGCATTTTGTATGCCTTTCAAGGCGGCACTTCCTTCCCATCCCAGTCCCGGCACTTGCCCCGTCCTTCAGGCGCCACTTGCCGGATTACGTCAATTAGCCTTTCTGCAACCCAGTCGCGCTCAAACAGCTTCTCCTTCTTGACGTTACTCCAGAAATCTTTGCTCAAACCAGTCTTGACGGTTCCGGGATGTAAGGCAATCGCCATCGCGTTATCGCCCGACGCAGTCCTCAGATGGTTGTCAAAGGTTTTGACTACCTGATTGACACCAGCTTTTGATGCACGATAGCTGTACCATCCTCCTAGGCGGTTGTCACTGATACTACCAACGCGAGCTGACATGATAGCCATTGTAGCTACATCTGGTAAGCCCGTCATGTCCTCTTGTTCCTTGTCAATGACTGCACTCTTCCTTGGGAGGAAAGAAGAAAAGTGCTTGAGCATAAGCATTGGACCCAGAGTATTAGTTCGGCTACGCATTGGTGTACGTAGTCAGTACACATCGCATGTCCGGTTTAGATAAGACCATTACTTACAAAGTCAATAACGCTTCGTCAGCGTTGATTTGGGAGGGTGACTTTTCTGGGAAAAGGATCCCCGGCACCATCATAGCTAGTTGAAGCTGATGAGGGCCATCACTGAACTGCTTCTTGCAGGTCGCTGCTGCATCTGCAATAGTCGTCTCGTCTAGAGTAAGATCAGTACTCGAACGCCATTGTGCACATTATCACATATGCTAAGTACGTACCTAGAACATCCAGTTTCAACACCGTCAATCGCTTCTCGTCAACATCCAAACCATCGAGTAACTCCTCCTTGGTCTTATCGAGATCCTTTCGGGCTGTTGTAACAACGGGCGCGTTCGTAGTCTGCAACACCCGTCTTGCGAGTGCGAAGCCTATGCCCCGAGAGGCCGGTGAGATCAGCGACCACGGTGGCATCGCGATGGGGGCAATGGAAGGGTAGCAACAGATGCCATGCTCGTGACAATCTTTTGATGCTTCTGAGCTTCGCGAAAAGTGGTCGGGACGCGATCGATGATGACATACTTGCCCTGTCGATCGGTCGGCTAGTGTAATTTGAGCTAGCGCATTCTTCACCCGTCTCCAGCCAGCATCACTTCACTCTGAGCATCTTTTTCTTACACACCTCAAATTCTCAAAAAAGGCGCAGTCCGTATGAGGTCACATCGAAAGCGTCAAAAGCCCATACAACTGTGGTTGTTAACGTTCTGTCGCAACGGCGCCATATACTTTTGGCAGTGGGTCTGAACGACGCAACTTTCCGTTGCGGAACGTAAGTATGCAACAGTCTCAAAGTCTCACCGCCCATAGCGCCGTGAGTCACTAGCCGATATGTAAAGAAGCAATACTGCATTCCTTGCACGTATCTTAGTTATCGTAAACATCGATGTCGAAGTCACCCTCACAAGAAGTCGCCATCGCAGCTCCGGCACTTGCCATCTCTGCACCAATGTCCGTCTTTGCTTGCTCTCGTCGTTTTGCCTCTCGCTGCTGATAGTCTACCTTTTGCTTCTTGGCCCACTCATCGCGCATTCCATGCTTCTTTGTACGTCGCGCCGCAGCTAGATCCTCCTTAGCGCTCAATTCCTCCTTTGCCTTCTCAATCTTGACCTTCAGCTTTTGCTCTGCAGTCATGATGTTCTTTGGCATGTCATAACGCGATGTCAGTTTCTCTTCCTTGGTTTTCAACCTTGCCTTCAATACGCGCAGACCGCTGTCCACTTTATTGAGCCTGTCCTTTATGTCCAGTTGTGCAAGTCGAAGCCTCTCATCCTTGCTAACCCGAACGACGAATTGATTCGAGCCTTGGTTTTTGAAGGACTTGTGCGAGTCGGAAATCAACGTGGACTTTACTGACGTTCTGTCGACTGCCATGTCGTGCGTGATATGGCGTGGTCGTCGAGGAGGTAGGTTATCGGACTCAAGCTGTCCTTCGCTCTGGGGAGGCGGGGGAGTCGTGTCTCCTACTCCGTGATACAGTGTTTTGGAATCTTCAGGCATGGCAATGTCTATGGGCTATGTCGCTACGTGGATAGGCGCTCGAGGAAGAGAAGATACAGCGATTCAGAAAGTTCAAATCGTGGTCGCAGTGGTCTTGGTTAGATGAGAGGGGGTGACGTTGATGGTGCTTAAACGTTCAGGACTGGAGATTGTTTGTCAGGTGAGTGTCGCCGATCAAGTGAGCGTGAGTCTTTAATGTTTGTTTGAAGCACTATCTGGTCTTAACGTATGCGATACGGCCTTCACTTTTGTGCTTGTCACGCTCTTCTCAACACCAGAATAATTCAATACGATAGAGCAGAGCTAGAAGTACGGGGGGGCTATGAGATCAACCACGGTCAGTTGTGGCTACGATAAACATGCCAAAAGCACGTCAGCAACTACCTTTCGATCTACACCTCAAGTCTCTGCAGCAAAGCCCTCAAGATCCAATTTTCCCTTCCAGTAACATTCTCAATTCTCTTCAAGCCAGCATGAATCTCCCCCTGTAGTCGCTTCAATGTATCTCGCGTGTACATCATGCTCCCCACTCGGTCGAGTTGCCCCAGCACAAGCCTTTTCTGCTCATCTGATAGATATCCGATATCCCGCCGTTGTCGAAGAAGCTCATACAGTTCAGCGTTGTCTTCGCAATTGTTCAACGCGTGAACGAGTGGGAAGGACATTTTACCCTCGTCCAGATCCTCACAAAATCCCTTTTGAGCACTGTATTCTGGCGAATGAAGGTTCTGATAATCATCGCGGACCTGGTATTGTATCCCGATACAGCTTACAAGCTCCTCGATATCTGCGCCTCGCGTAACTCGCAACAATTCGCAATCTGCAGACGCAAGCAAAAGCCGCACCAATAATCGAAACAAACCTCCAGTTTTCTTGTTCACCATCTCCAGATACTCGTTCTCGGACGGACACTGGGTATGATATGTCCAAAAGAGATCATAAGACTGGCCGATGTGCAATTCGGCGAGTTCTTCGAGGACAATCTTCACCTCTGCGGCGCCCAATTCTTGAGCCTCACTCACAGCTAAGAGGATTTCATAACATCCGGAGTTGATCGTTTGTGCAATACCGAAGACGGTGTGTGTCGCCGGCTGACCTCGTCGGAGATTAGACCCATCTTCGATATCATCGAGCATAAGAGATGCAGCGTGTAGACGGTTACCTAGTGATTTGATTCGGGATACGACGGTCTCGGGTACGTTGAGCCAGATATTGAGAGCGTCGGTGAAGGTGTCTCGTACACCTTTGGAGGGGAGTGAAGTGATGTAATCGAAAGGTGCCTGGACATTTTCTCGGCCTAACAGATCATTGCCAAGTATTTGATCGTCCTTCAAGGTCGAAGAAGAGACAGATGTACAAGAAGAGATCGAGACATCATCCCTCGTTGTGAAGCTGTCGTCTTCGGAGGCTTGAAGGGATGAATCGGTAGACGAACGCCGGGAGCTTTCATCCCGCTCTTCCTTTACCTCGGTTCGTATATAAGCATCATACTCAAGACAAAGTGTCTTTTGAAGCGACTCCGCTGTCAGTCCATCTTCCATGCCCACATTTGGATCATATCTGTACTCTCGGTGGTACCTCGGACAATTCAAACTCCAAACAACATTTCCGCTGATCTGGTAAGCCAGCGCGTCCAAATATCTGTCAAGTTTCTCCGGTATGGGCGCATTATTCTGCCGAAACTCTGCACAGCTCCCCAGAAACTTCTCCTCGTATCTTTTCGTCGCCTCCAAAGTCATGCTTTTTGCCGCATTTACATCCTTGTTGTACCATTGCATGTGAAGCCAGACCGCGTTCGTCAGTGTTTGCGACTTTCCAGATTTTTCGAAGTCCGCATATTCGCGATCAAAGGAGAAGAAGTCATTAGCTAGGCCGAGAGCTGCGTAACAAGGCTTGCGAATTTGCTCGAGTTGAATGTCCTCTTCTTTGGTGAGCGTCACACCCATGCCAAACAGCAGCATGGCTTCCACAAACCTAAAACGGTCAGTTTTGACAAGCGCATTACTTATTCAACAGCAGAGAGAAAACTTACGGCGCTCCAGTATCAATCATGCGGAAGTTCACGTACTCTTCCAGGTGGGTAAAGCACTTGTTCTTGTCTCGTAGAGTCGTATCAATCATCTCTTTCCACACACTTTTTACCTGTTCAGTACACGCATGGTCGATGGAAGCAAGCTGTATCATGATCTTCGCTTGAATCTGTGTCTTGCCCAGTGCCGGGTTCGTGTTTTTCCACTCTCTTTTGTTTTGATTATCAGCACGCGACTACGATCATCAGTGATCTTCAATCTGAAAAACCAATTGAACTTCCATCGTACCGTTTCTGGTTTCTCAAGCTCAATCATGTTATCGTAAAGGAATGCATCTGTATTCAGTAAGCAAACTACCTCAGTGATAGGGAAACCGTATGGTGCAGGTATCGTACACTCAAGCACATAAGCGATCATGCGCAACCTTTCTGGCTTGGTAAGTGGTAGGACCACAGCCGAGAAGTTACCATTGATAGGGTTACATCCTCCGAATTCTTCGATTGGCCCGACGTATATGATCCAGTCTTGTCTCGCTTCATAACATCCAGCGTTGGCCTCAGGCTCGTATTTGTGGCGCCTTAATGTGTAGTCCGAGCAAAGGCTGGATGTATCGTAGTGAGAAAGAGAGACGAGGTAAGAAGTCTCATCAGCTGATGCTTGCTTTGGCTTGTCCATGATTACAGGGTAAAAAAGAGATCAAAAAGGCCAAGTATGTTCTCAGGTTGGTTTTGTTCCTCCAGGTGTTCTCAGAATTCTGCAAATAGCACGTCTCTTAAATCAGACACGTAGTGAGGCATCGTCATCTTTTTGCATACTTGTTTATAAGATATTCGACATCATAATGAAATCAACTGTTGCGTGTACCGAAAATCTGTGTGATGGTCATACCTGCGCACTCACGTGTGCACAGTTTCTGTTATGCCGATCGAGATTGATGTGCTGTACAAACAGGGTGGAGATTGCCAATCGATCGCACAACGATGTAGTAAGCCTATTTCTTTGGGAAGATCGGTTGCGATCTGAAATTTAGCAAGACATTGAGATTGTAGCTCTACACATCGGGTTTACCGATCTACGGTCATTAGTGGGTCTCATGCAGGACAGGCTCATCCCAAGGCTCTCAGAGCTGCTATCTGCAGACTCAATTTCAGATCGTGTGGGTCAAATATGGATACCATGCGCCAGATCGAACATGCTGGCGGCTTTCCTTCACTGTGACGTTTACTGTGGTCATATCAGTACCCGAGTGTGGTATAGGTGACCGCACCACTGCCATGAACTTTAGTGTTGCTGCCTTCACAGTGTCTCAGCCAACCACTCCAAGTAATGATGAATTAAGATGGCTTCACTTACACCAGGAAGGCATTGATAGAAGTGCCAGTTTTCTGGATAGCTATGATGTATACATGACATGCAACCGCGGCCCCACTAATCGCTGTCTGTGTGGTATCAGACCAAATCGACGAAGTTGGTCAAGCGACAAAAAAGCAATCGCACAAGGAATTCAAAGCATTGTGAAAAAAGAAGGTCGAGTGCTATCATGGGCGGATCGCGAAGATAGGTATCTACGTTCGATCCATTCGACTCCTGATCCAGGGTTCATACTTCCTCCTCGTCTCTTCATCGCCGTAGATATCAATGTCAAGGCCATCGTCCGCAATCATCCTATCCATTTCTCTCCGTGCCCGTTCTTCCTCCGCTTCCTTCATCGCCTCTTGGGCCACTTCTTCCTTAGCCTCATCTTTGACTTCACCTCCAGGCATCCTATCTACAAAAGGCCGAGTATATGCATCTTGCAAGCCCAACCCCACCATCTCTTGCTGTACCCTCTTCCTCCACTCGGTGTATGCCAATGCCTTAGGACATTGGTTCAGACGCAACTGTCGATATACAAATGTGTATTCTCTGTGGAACTTTCGCTCTATGTTCTGGCCTAATTTTTGCCATGCTTCGATATCTCGGAGATCAGGATAGTTCGGGGCGAGCTGCTGTGCCTTCTCCAAATTTTGCTTGTTGCGTTTCCGGGGGTTGTTCTGTCGTGGGGAGTCTGGTGCTCCATGTCTATGTCGTTTGCTACGATCAGGGTCGAGCGCGTTCGAATGAGACGCGTACAGCCTTACGGTCTTTCCTGGGCCATATAGTTGCGGTCTGCCACTTTCAACCCTATAGTTGTCTGTACTCTCAGCATAACTGTTCCGTGTAGTGACGTCGCCTCCTTCGAACACTCGGTGTTCGTCGCCAGATATGTTCCACTTCCTCTTCCTGGCCCTTTCTTGTACAGACAAAGAATGCTTAGCCTGACCCTCAGCCGGAAAGCCTCGCTCACCCAACACCCTTGCGGTCGCTAGATTCCTTCCGCTGTCGGGGTTTATGGAAGCCATATCGGTGTTCGGGGTTGGAGGATGATAAAGTGCGTCTGTTACGAACGCGGAAGTAGACTTGAGCCTGTCGAAGGAGTGTAAGATGTTGGGTTGCAATTGCAGTTACTTGAAGGTGATTACGACCCTCCAATTATCATTTAAAGAAAGAATGCTTATTACGCTCTTTCACAAGGCAAGTGTAACCACCCGTGATTCGGAACGCACTTGCGCTTGGTGGTTGTACCACTAAAAACGCCAGGCAACAAGCGACAACGTGACGAAAAGGTGTTTAGTTAAGGCTTTCCCTGAGGGTATTACGTGAAAATTAGCAAGGCGCTGAATCAATCACTGGCGCTTTAGTTGTGACTGACGTCTTTCTCTGTGGGCAGTGTTGCGAGGTCGTAAGTGTGTAAGGTATGAATGTACCAGGTGACTGGAAAGATTAGCGCGAGATGATTGCAAACTTAGCAAGTCACAGCCAGTTGGGAAAGAATGAGCCTGAGAAGCGTGGTGACTGCGAAAGCGTGACAGTACCTAGACACAAGTATACTCAAGGCAAGAGTCACTAGGTGGTTTTGAATAGACCACATATTATGAAAATCAGCCACTCATACGAAGATCTCTTAGAACGTCGAGACAGCCCAGGATAGGACCAGGCTAGTCACACATCATTAGAATATCTACAGCCATACTCATCAACACCCGTCTATTCTTCCATCCCACAACGAGTACATCTCATCACTCCCCCCATGGCTCTGATATCGGTGTAGACAGAAAAAGACTAAGAAAGAAACAAAGAAAGCTCAACGAGGGAATCACAAGCTATACATTTCGGGAAATCAAGACCAAAAACGCCTATTTGATCTTTGATGGAGAGGCAGAAAACCACAAACAGGGAATAAAGCGTAGTGGTAGTGGTAATGATGATATGTGGATGAGGAACATGGTCAGATCGCTAGCGCAATGCGAAACGTGACAGTTAAAAGAAATATGATGGGTTATGTACAAAAAAGGAGTCGTAAAGGCTCGTCAAAGGAGGAAACAGGGACAGACAATATGCAAACAAGTCGTCCCCCATCCTACTACTAGTCACCTCAGGTACTACCTGGGCGGACTTCGCGGACTACGTGGTGGGCTTTTGGGTACTGCAGGCACTTCCGGTACATCTTCTTGGTTTTGACGAAGATGTTCTGGCGCCTCATCTCGTGTTATTGTCGCTCTGCGGATCGCATTGCGTAACCGGCTCATGACTGCCGGTTGTGTATTGGGGGGACCGCCTTGGTAGCTGTTCCTGTGGCCTTGGAAACTGTTACGGCTGTGGGACGACTCGAGTCGTGTCAGCATGGCGGCCGAGGTAAAGTCGTTGCTTTGCTCGAAACTAGGACGCACGCGGTCCATAGACATACGTGCGCGATCGAAGCTTGGTCGTACGCGGTAGTCGGTCGACATACGATGGGCGAGGGGAGGAGCCTCCGTTGTAGGAGCGGGTGGGAGGCCCTCCATAGAACGGCGGAAAGTGTAGTCGGTGCTGTTGCTGCCATTCTGGCTTCTTGGGTTGTGCGTCGTAGCGGTTGGAGCAACTGATGGTGGGTAGATGGGTCGAACGTCTTCGTCCGTGACATCGGCATTAGCGGCTTTGTACTTCGAAGCATCGGCTTCCGATGACTGGTTGGAGTCTTGCTCACCAGCCACCTTCTCTGGTCGAGGAGGAAGGTAAGAGTCATTGTCTCTCAAATAGTCGAATTTGCCTTGCTTCACCTGCTCCCGAATAATGTCCGCATCTAGAGGGAAGTAGATCTTCTGCACCACCTTGAAGATGAAGCGCGGAAGCAAACACGCTACCGTAGCGCACAGAACGTAAGCCCAGAAATTGAGAGTGCCGTATGCTTCGGCACCAGCCTTGTAGAATTGAGCACTCGAGGTGAAAGAGGTGTACACCCCAGTCCAGAACCAGATGAAGAGGGTACTGATGACGACGATCAGGACGATCAGCCAGTCCCAACGATATGTGTTGTATAGGACGTAGATGTTGGCTGCACAAACAGCTGTAGTTGCAGCGTAGATACCCATGCGTCGGAACTCGGCCAGGTCCAATCCGTTGGAGGTCGCAAAAGTTGCGGGTGCGAAGATTTCGTACAAGAAGAAGAAGGCAACTGCGGATTGGTAGATACCATCGACCATGTAAGCCCTATAATGTGTTAGTGTCTTTCATGTGCCTTGAGCCGATTTTGCTTACCAGAACTTAGGCTGGCTCCATTCCTTTCGCTCGATACCACGACGGTACAGCTCCGGGACGGCCAGAGATACTCTATCATCGACATCCTGATCCAGAACACCCATGACGATAACAGGGAGTGACGTAAACGCCAAGTTGAAGAAGATAATGTAAGTGTAGTCGAAGATATACTGGCTGTCGAAATTGGTGTAAATCTGGTACCAGAAGAGAGAAAACGTCCAAATGATGTTCTTGTAGAAGAAGTTGGCAATGGTTTCTGCGAGCCTACGGTATGACCATCGACCGTGAACAAGCACAAGGCGAGTGAGGAAACGGAATTGACCAATGGCGTAATCAGAAGACATGACGGCTGCGCGGCCCTCGACACCAGCGATACCGACACCAACGTGCGCCTCTTGAATCATGGCCACGTCGTTGGCACCGTCTCCAATAGCAAGAGTGAGACAGTCCAGTCCAGTCTTGACCATGTTGACGACGGCTGCTTTCTGACTGGGACTCACACGGCAGCAAAGAACGGATCGACAACGCCTACAAAGCAGAAGGAACTTCCGCTTCACTGATTCATCTAGAGCCAGCTTGAGAGTGTCTCCGTCGATGATGATGGCATGTGTAGGTGGTGGTGGTTCGTGATCGTTTTGAGCGGCGGCCAGTTCTTCTTCAGAGCCTTCTAGACCGAAGATCTTCAATTTCTCGTCGAGCTGGGCTTCTATAGAATCGATGTTATCGTCTGTAACCTTGAGGATAATCAGGTCCATGTCGTTGTCGAGCAGGTTGCAAGAGAAACCGATGTTGATGGCTGTCTCAACTTTGTCACCTGTAAGAACCCACAGCTTAATACCGGCCTGACCGAGAAGAGAAATGGACTCTGGTACACCGTCCTGGAGTCGGTCTTCGATGGCAGTTCCTCCAATCAGCCACAAGTGGTTTTCGATGCGATCGGATACCTCTTCCAGCTTGTCCTCACGTCCTTGAATAGCGTTGGCAGCAATGTCGTAATCCCTGTTCCACTCTTGGTATTCCTCCTCAGAGATCTCTCGTTGAGCAATGCACAGTGTTCGGAGTCCTTCTCGCGCAAACATCTCAAGATGCTCACCAGTATCGGCACGGAGTTGTCGTTGCTCATTGGGGATCAACCTAGAGTAGATCATGCTGTCGGCTCCTTTGCAGAATAGGACGATTCTGTTATCAGGCATTCTGATGATCGCACTCATTCGCTTCCTGCTGGAGTTGAATTCCAGGGTATTGAGGACTTGGTATTTGCGCTCTTGTCCCAGAATATTGACAACGAGACGATCGTCTTCGCGACCAACGAATGTGAAGCCACAATCACGGGCAGTAGCGACGAGTGCGGCTTCATCGGGCGATTGTGCTTTGAACTCGATCTTCGGTGGGTCACCAGGGGTGCGTTCAGTAACGACGGTATGGCAAAGGGCCAAAGCAATCATAAACTCCTCATTGGCTCTCTTTTGTTCCATTCCAGATTCTCCGCGCAGGTCGTCAATATAGTCCGGAGCAATAAATGTCAGATCGTCATCCCACAAGTAGGGGTTGTCATGCATCTTGCGAATTCCCTCGAGCATCCGCACACGGTCGCGCGCAATCTGTTCGCGGGCCTTGGCACCCTCAACTTCGACGTTGATACCTTGTCTCCGCTGCATGCCTGCCTGGGCCTCTGTGTACGCTTCTCCATAGGGAACTCCGTTAATGGTTGCCTTCTTGAACTCCATGACGTTCTGGGTGAGTGTACCCGTCTTGTCCGAAAAGATGTATTCGATCTGGCCCACGTCATCTGAGATATTCCAGGACTTGGGAGTACAGGGGTAGTCCAGCTTTGCGTAGTACATGTGTATGTCGCTGTAGATAAAGAGGGCCTGCAGCGTACGAATGATTTCCAGGGTAATGTAAAGCGAAATAGGAACCAAATTCTGGAAGAGAATGACGGCAGCCCAAAACGCAATTACACCGTCTGTAGCAGGAGCACCTCCGTAGGAACCATATTCGAAGAATGAATGGGTGGTGTCGTCCCGAGCCCAAGTCACACCAAGCACGATTCCAGAGACCAGACACATGGCGGCCAGGATGAAGAAATTGTATACAACGTTCCAGTTCAGTTCCTTGGAGATCCTGGCTCTCTTGCTGGGCGTGATACCGGAGTTTATCATGATCTTTGTCTCTTCTCCAGTGAAGACGACGACACCCAATACCCACTCGGTGTTTCGCAGTTGACAGCCACGGAGGATAAGGTTGTTAATGGAGATGGGCTCGACCATTTCGTACGCCGGCGCCTCGGGATCTTTCGCGTTGTGCTGCTGCCACCTGATGGCTGCACTGTACGAGTACAAGTTGGAATGCGCGCCTTCGCTCTCGATGACGAATTCGGCACGCTCGCAGTGTCGAGCATGTCGCACATCTCGAGTGGCGTGGAGTGCATTACGCACCTTGAGGTTGGTCTCACCGTCCAGGTTCTTCGTCTCAACATAGCATGCGCCGTCGTCGGAAGAAGTGGAAAGCACAATCACGTCGGCAGGGATCTCCTCATCGTTGTAAAGGCGCACGAAATCACCGACCTGGACATTTTTCCATGCATCTTTCTTGAAACGTGCCTTTTCTGGAGCAGTCTTGTACGGGTTCAGCACACTTCCCCAGAACTTCTTTTGAGGGCCAGGATTGGAGTCGGCACCACGAATTTTATCTCCTTCACCGGGTCCATGGGTTAGTGGAGGAGAATGCGTAGGAGATTGGCCTGGTAGCGGTGAGGGCACGGGTGTCATCTGGATGTCGTTCTCGTTTCCAAAGTAGGATTCTCTGCGTGATGCGATGGAAGCTCTTCGGGTCTCGTGGGAAGGGCGCGAGCCGTCCATGCCGCCGTCCTCGCCTCCTTTGCCCTTTGCACCCTTTTTGCTCTTGGCGCTCTTCATCAGCCGCCATGTTGAGATTATGCTCTTTGTGGTGGCCTTCTTGATCTTCCGCCATAATGATACCGTGTCTTCGGCCGTGTTTACGTTGTTGAAGTCGACGAGTCGGTGAACGGGCGCGTTGTTGAGCTCGTTGTCTAGGACGGTTCTTCGCCAATCCTCTACTCCATCCTTGATGGACGTTACGACGAGAATGACGATGAGCGGTACTGCATTAAGAGCCGGATTACTAGCACCGAAAATGGAGAAAATCTGGACAAATCAGTTAGCTGTCGGATGTTTCGGAGGAGACGGGAGGGTACGCACGCCCAGGATAATAATGAACAGGAAGTAGACGTTGGCGATGTTGTGGAACTGGAACCACAGGTTCTTGGGTATGAAGCTGAGCGGCGTGTATTTGGCGGTTCTTATCTTATTGCGGGCGTACTGTGCGAGGGGGTGGCCTTCTTCGTCGCGTTCTGTTTGCGGCAGGGGAACGTTGAAGTAGACTTTGCGCCCCGAGTCTCCCTCTTCGGCGCCTGCATCTGAGCTCTCAGGAGACGGGTCGGTCGGAAGTCCGCCTTCTTTACCCAACGGGTCTTGCTTCTCGCCGCCAGAGCCTATACGCCGGTGGAGACGTTCCTTGAGGGAGTGTCGCTTGTTTGCCGCTTTGATGCCTGTCGCACGATGTGTTGCCCCTGCATGTCCCGTCAGCGCAATGCTCTCAACTGTCGTCTCTCTGTGCTGTCAGCGGATGGGCGTCACTCACAGCGTATGCGCTTCTGCGGATGTGACACCTCGGTCTCGTTGGGCTCCATGTAGGGTTGCAGCGTCATGGTGCTTGTCGTCGGGGATGCTGCGGCGCTGCAGGGAGGGCGGCGACGGCCTGAGCCGGAATGGCTCTACGCTGCAATGCAAGCCAACTCGTTCGCGGAGGACGCTGGCACGTGGCGAGGGGTGCAGTGCATGTAGTGCCGGGCGGTGGTCGAGGGGCGTGGTGGTGGTTGTGGTTGTGGTGTTGTGGTGGTCGTCGCGGAGGGTGCGAGGAGACGGGCGGCCGTGTTGTATTCGGATATTAAAAGATGCCGGACGAGAAACAGCGGTTGCGAACACTAAACTCGACGTTGGAGGCGGAGCGACGGTCAGATTATGCGACGGAGTGATTAGCTGGCGCGAGGTCGTCAGAGTGCAGGGCCGTGGAAAATCAGCACGAGGGGAAGGCAGCGGAGCGGCAAGTACTGCGCAGACCCTGATGAATGATTGATGCGTTGCTGGGCTTTAGTTGCTTCCATATGCTTACAGCATCGGCGCGGGAAGCACACGCCTCATACTCCCTCGGCCGGACGCTACGGTCTTAACAAGATGCGAGACTAGTTCCCCTTGAAGGGCCCGCACTGCGATCTGATCATTTCACGCACCAACACAGGAGGATTTATTTCTGTCAATCGCGTTGGCGACGCGTGGCCTGGGCCTGCAGAGACAGAGAGAGTAGATGAAGTGCATATCCCCATCTCAGTTCCTCTGGGCGGCGGACAACAGCATCAACAACGCTCTTCGCACTCTGGGAAGGTCTTGGTCTGCTTCAGCCATGTCAGCTTGGGACCGTCCGAGGACTAATCATAGCGGAGCATCCGCGGGCTCCAGTCAGCAGCCCTTCTAAGCAACCACCCAGGGTGGAGCGTCATTTCAGCCCTCCCTCGTCTCTCGACCCGGCTGTCTATGTCGTCGTAGCCGGGAGATCCTCGAGCTCCGTGCTTCGTACAAGTGACTTTGGACAGCTGGCACCCGGATTAATGAAGCTTCTAGAGCCGTATCCCATGTGCTTAATATAACATGTCGCAGGCCAGCGTAGAGAGGGCAATGCGAAACCGTTGAAACAGGACGTCACCACTCAGCGCCGGCGGCATAGCTCGGATGCGGCGACGAATATTCTGCAGTGTAGAGTTGACCAGCTTCCCGCGACATACGGATGCCGGCGAACTCGCATTCCGATGCATGTCGTCAACGGTAAATGAATCTAGCCCATCTGCAGCCAGGCGTTGGCGGATTGCGCCCAGATACTTAGCTCCGGGTGAAGTTGTCGCCAGCCACGTGACAGCGTGCCGCGCATCATGTCTAGCATCCAGCCTGGAAACGCCTCACGCGTCGTCGCAAGGTTGCACCACCCCCACTCGTCAACATCACCACCCCTCTATTATTCTCCGCTATGAAACCCCACAAGAAAAGCATCCGAGACTTCTTCTCTCCCGTACCGACAAATTCCACAAGTGCTGCTGCTTCGCAATCGACCCTGCCCCAGAGAAGTACATGCTCCCTGCCGTCTGAGACTTGCTGCCTCAGGCTGACCCATCCCACCGCTGCAGATGCAAAACATGCGCCTACCCGTCAGTCTAACCCTCCAAAATCTTCTGCAGCCCTCCCGGACGCCGTCTCGCACGTCACTCACCCCCCGCTTTCCTCGTCGAATCCCTCCGTTTCGACTGCGCCTTCCACAACAAGAGCTGCAAGTGCCGATGCGCCGCCCTTTAACCCCTCTCAGACATCCGCAAATTCAGGCACAAGCAGGCGAATAGAGTCAAATGGCCAGCAGATGGTCTTGAATTCCGACTCGGACGATGACTCGCTCCCCGACCTGGACTTTGGTATACCCGTGACAAAAGTCAAGGCCTTGACTACCATGACCACGACACGTTCAAAACGCACATCCGAAGATCAAGTAGATGGATTACGCAAGCCCGTTAAGAAGGCGAAAGGCGACAGGATCAACTTCAGCGCACTAGTACAAACAGCCCAGAAGAACCGGGAAACAGAGCGACAGATCCTGGAACACAAGACTGCTCTCGAGACACCTCTGGAGATACCCGTGAATGCATCCATTACAATAAACGAAGAGACGCTTGGCCAAGTCGTAGATGATGATGATGATCCGGAGAAGGCGCACCGCCTCTTCCAGGCTATGCAGAGAACGAACGCTACGCAGCTAGAAAGCACTTTCCATTTTTTCAAAGACAACTCAGACTCGAACTCAATACCAATGCGGGCCGCATTTCCCATCAGAAGCTTACCCAACCATCGATGGGTATCGAACTTTGAAGGTAGAGCTTCTATACTGTTACGTCGCGTCAGTCATTAACATGTTCAAGACTCGTACGCCAGGGATCAAGCTTTCATGACCGGCTTCGCTCAACAGATATTTCATCTACAAAAGCTGCCTCCAGAGCTAGCTTCTTGGATGATTGATCAGAGTTAGTAATACACAAACGGCACACTTGCACCTGCTAAGATTTGTAGTTTCCTCGAGTCGGAATGAGGCGCTCAATTACAGGTATATCGAAATCCTGGAGGTAATGTCCCATCTATTCTCAACTCATGGCAACATTTGACCCTTTACAGTCTGAAAAACATAATAAGCATCTCTACACGCTTCTTGACTCTACAAGACTAGAAACATTGTTTAGGGAGATAGGCGCTGATATGGCACAACTCGAAGCGTCAACCGAACTTACGCCAGTCTTTGTACCACGATCCGAAACCAGAGTCTCGCTTCCGCTGCCTTTAATCTCTATCGCCAAGCTGCTTGAGCGAGCAGCACCATGGTAGGCAGACTATGTATGAGGAAAGGGCTTTACTGATTCTTTACAGCTTGCAATCGGAAACTCGAAGTCGTGCGCTATACATACTCAGCCACGTGTGTCTTGATGATAGAGTCATGGCAGATGCTGCCATTCTGCACACCATACAGGACGCTATGGGAGCTATTGTATGCAGCTTTGCTAACAACCACAAGCTGGCCTCCGCTGTAGGGCGTCCTTCACTACAACACAACATTCACACTCTAATATCTACACAGCTCAGCGATGTCGTCTCTCAACTACTTGCAAAAGTGACGCATCCTTTGCTCCAAAGAAACTTGATTCGTTCTTTTCCAACGACATCGCCGTTGACAGCATATTTGCAACGTCATCTGGCCCTCGCATTTCTAGTTCACCCGACTCCAGTCGACGTGCCACTTTCGGACCCGAAGGTTTCCGACATCATCTACAAGCATATGAAGAACTCGCCAAGTTTCCAAGTAAACAAGAATACGAACTACAGTCATCTCGCTGCACGGTTGGCTCTTCTTGATATCGCTATTGGGCCCGGTTTATTGGACGTTCCTTACCAACCCCTATCAAGTCCAACGACTTCAGAAGCAGGCTCTTCTCCAGTCAGCGCTCCAGTACCTGCGTCATCTGAGGTGAGAGACTTCAACAACCAGGTGGATGCACTTGCTCGAGAATTTCAGCTACTTGGTAATTCTATTGTCGAAGCTGGCGCTGTAGTGGATTTGACCATCATGGACACGAAGGATTCTATAGAGAGACTACGCGCACGACTTGAGCACGCCGTACGGATAGGCGGAAAGAAGGCTCACAACGTGTTTGGGAATGATGACGAGGATACACAGCTCAAAGTCAGCAAGTTCTTCACGAAAAGAATGCAGAACTGCACCCCAGCACCATTACGTGGCATCTTCGATGGAGAGGACGACGTGTTGTCAGACGTCGCGGATTCCACAAACACTTGACAAAGGCTTTGCCGATACTACCGAGTAATATGCAGGCCATACCATAATACTCACCTTTGCGGGCACTCAACACTATCACAACCATATCATCCCTCTACTTGCTTTCGTGAAAGGTTTCAAGCAACTTGTCGCACCCCGCGCAACCTCATCTCCTCGTGACCCCTGAAACCTGCATCAACATTGGCACAGCACTTGGCATACCATCCCGCTACATCCTTCAGGGGGGATCTACAGGAGAACTAAAACTCACGCTCCGCTCTATCGCGTCGCCTCGCAGGAAATATCAGACCAAGTTCAATTTCACGCGCTGCAATCTGCAATCATTTGAAAATTAGCGGCTAGCGTCAAGGGTCTAGAAGAGAGAGAAAACTATGCAGGTAGCTCTTTTCGATCCAGCTGATGTCCGCAGAAGCTCGGTCGCGGCCCAGAAACGAGTTCATCTCCTCCTGTCACATTGCATTACGGGGCGTCGGAGAGCGAGCGAGCCAGTCAAGGCGATGAGGCGGCTTACTCATATAACTACTGTACGTGCGAACGTGCATGCTGTGTAGTGCTCAAGAACGAAATGACGAAGCAAGTGACTGGGCCAGAGAGTGCCGTGAATACCACGTGTAGAGATGCGATACAGCGATAGATTACTAGGTGGGCTTGCGGCACGGGTACGCTTGCAATGACGGCTGCAGGTGGGAAATGTCTGACAGGCATGAGAGCTGTGGCGCACGCAAATTGCTGACTCGCTATCTGAGGCGGTGTGATGGAGATGCGAATCAGCGTTATTCGGGGGCCGCCTACAAAGCGAAAATCGCCTCGGTTCGGATTTCGCGCCAGAATGCCGGGCTCGTGAAGCCACAAACAACATTTCGGAGCGTCGGTCATTGAGTAATTTATATGCGTAGGCTAAGGGGTGTTCGTTGCGTGAGTTAGATCTCATGATGGGTGAATACCGCGATATGCGCGCCTAGTCCAGTGAAGACACATCGCATCGTCTGCTAGCCCTACAATAAATAAATACCGCGCGCGCGACATCCCTCCCACATGCTGTCAATGAATGTACCGGTGGGTAAACCACCCTAGGCCTAGCCAGCTTACTTGCCGTCCGCAGGTGCTTGCTACCATGTCTCTTGCATGCCAGTGCGTTCGGGTTCCTTGGTATTGGGTATCAGCCCTGGAGGCTGCCGTTGTATTTCGGATAGCAGTTTCCGAGTTTGAACTAGGTTGCCGTTTGCCGATGAACGGTTTGGCGGCATGCGGGATGGTCCTTGTTAGAAGTAAAGTGGGAAGTGGAAAAAGAGGTTTAGCGTTGTTGCCGGTGAGGGAACGGCGAAAAGTGGAATGGTGGTGCAAAGTGACAGGTGTAGTGAGGCTTGGCTAGTTTGGTGTTTGGTTTTGAGCTGGTTTGAGATGAGGCTGATGGGGCGATGGTCAGTTGTTGGAGAGAGTCGTTTCTGGGATGCTGGGGCCATGAGTGCAATCACGTCCAAGTCATCGGTTTACGATATACCGTCCATGTGAAGTCTATAATTCATGTACACTCGCCATGCGAGAAGAGTCGTGAAACTATATTAACGGAGTCGTATCCAGATCTATATACATGAGAACGCTAAATGCAAAAACAATAAGATACCGAATCAAAGACCTAGAAAGCTTGCCGTATGGAGCATCAGCACTGCTGGGACCTCCGTCATTACTTCCACATCACCAGCTGTAGACTATGGGGGGAAAGAAAGAGTCGTTCGATTGACATGTGTGTTCGTTGACTTGGCTTGGCCGGCTCTTCCAAAACCCTCTTCTTTCTGTTTTAGATTCTTCAATCGTCTATAGCCCACCCAGTCCGTTCTTCTCGTCAATGTGCCTGTAGCGTTCCTGCTCCATGCGATACTTGAGGACCATGGCGACACAAAGCACAAGGATCATGTCGATACCGACGATACCGAAGGCGGCAGTGAACACTCGATCTAGATATGTATTGGCGAAAGAGGAGAATTTACCAATGCATCCTCCCTTCTGAGCGGCGACTAGGGTGTTTTGGCATGTGCTATCCTGCACGAACGGAGGCGTGGTTGAGTTGACGTAACCGCAGCAGTCGAACTGTTACTTGTCAGCTTCTTTCTGTAGATCATGATGTATTCTTGCAGGGCTGCTAAGCCTCCCCACATGATTGTGTACGGATGGACGCTTCTAGTGCTGACGCTGATCATCGAGGCAACTCACCTTCTGTTGCAAAAGACTTTGGATAAGCGGCGTCTCGCGTCCCCAAAGGACGCTGAGGTTCGTGCGGGTTTGTAGTGTCTCTACCCAGATAGCGATACCAAGACCAAGTGTGAAGGTCGCGCAGATGACTACCAACCAGCCCTGAGTACGGAGCCAACCTCGATTCGTTGGTAGAAAAAGGGCTGGGAGAGACAGCAAGAATGTGACAAAGACGAAGATTGCATTGACTACGCCAGCTGGATAAGTTGTTAGTTGATGTTTGCCAAAACCGCATGTTCCAGGGCGATGCGTGGGACAATGCGCCGCCACAGTAGTGCCAGGATATCGATTCCCCCAGCATTACTACCATGGCCCATTCATAAATGTCGTACCTGTCAAGGGACACTGGCCGAGCAGTAGGTTCTGTGTGACGTTGTCTACGGTCGGAGTGGCGCGCATCGATTGCTCAGATATGAGGGAGAAGCCCAGCAACAGTCCTCCGCATCCGGCAAAGAGTAGGTCCATGCCAACAAAGGCCATCATCAACTTGGTCGGCATGTTGGCGGTACTGCGACTTGCGGCTTGACGGAAGAGACTGAAGTGAAATCAAAAAGAAGGATTGAAGCAAAGAATGGAAGTCGAGCGCAGCGGAGCCGTCCGGCGTACTCTGGTGAACTGCGTCGAGCAAGGAGAATTATTAGATAGAAGTGAAGAGAAAGTAGCAAGACCAGCGCTCGCGCGGAAAATGCATGGCATTCGGGGACACGGGGACTATGAGCATTAAGAAGCACTGCGAGGGCGCGTCGCAGTTGGAGCACGGCGATGCGTGGGTGGTTTCAGTAGTGTTGGAGCATTGCGGGTGGCCAATCACAGACGGGAACAGGCATGATGGTTCGATGTTTTGGCGCTGCGACGTCGGTGAGCCGCAGAGGTGGAGTGGGAACAAGCACAATGTTAGAAGAAGTGCGACGAAGTGTCGATGGCAGGCTACATGGAACCAGATGGTGGAGCCGCGGCATTATGGTTGTCACGAGGCGCGATGGTGTTGAGAATCGAGCTGCTGCCTCAGGGCCGGCGCCACCAACAGTGCAGGCGGGCAGGATGAGGGAGCAGGCTAGACCGTCGCTGCAAGCGAAGCGAGATCAAACGGGGAAGGTGCGTAAGGGTGGTACTTGCTTGGTCTTGCCTAGGTGCAGCCGCGGCTTCCACGACACCCACGACGACCCACTCCTATCATGAACAGGGCAAACAGCGGTACAGTCGACGCCTGCGTCCAGGGCAAAGAATACAATGGGAAGGACGGTGCGAACCACTCGGTACGACGAGTCTGGCCTGCAGCTTAGTCGTTCCTCGACTGCCCACAAGCATCTCGTACCGTGGCCTGTAAGCCCGGAGAGTGGGCAACCGACCTTCACCAGTTGACCGTCAATCTGACTTGAGCGGGACTAGCGCAGTCTTTCCACCAATCAACATGATACAAAACACCGGGGTCCTGCTCAGCTGCCTCTAGCGCAGCCCTCGGCCTGAGATGGACGGCGCACTTTTCATGTGGAAAGGCCGCTGCTGTTCATCTCCAAAAACGACCTGACAGGCCAAAGGTCTAGTGGGAAGGGGTCAAAGTCAGTATCAGCACAAAAGGCATGCTGCGCTGCAGATTGTGCCTTCATGCGCGGCGCGAAACCTCAGTCCAGGGCCTCCGTCCAGGGCAATTATTGTCGATCTGCGACTCAGAGCTGTGACCAGGGTCGCGCTCAAGCGCATCCGCCCCCAGTTGTGTGGATAGTTGAGGGCCTGCCCGCACCAAAGCAGCCAAAGCAGCCGTCGAGAGAAATACTTGACCACTCCCGCCGTTTCATTCCCAATACCGTTCGTCCCTTTCCTTCCTCAGACAGCTCTCGGGCTATAACACACCTGCACCACTCCGTCTGTCCCTGCGTGCCCGCCAAGCTCCACAAGCTCAGGGTTCGGGAAACCACTCGACCTGTCTTTTTGCTACCCACCCAACGGCGCGCGAAAACAAAGCACGCCGCACCTGATCTCGCTGTGCGTTTGGCCAGGTACGTACCCTTTTCGCTTTCCCAGCCCGCCCTCTGTCGCGAGGTCACGCTCTCCGGCACCAAGCCCTTCCACAAGCACCCCCCAGCCACTGGCGCAGCACGGGCCCCCCGAGTAATTTAGTGCCTTCCACCGAGCACAGTGCGACCAAGCGTTTCCTCCCCCGCGCACCTTTTCCTTGCATTCCTGCTGCGCCATCACAAAGGGACCAGCCCCGATCTTTTAACAGGCCGCGCTTCCTTTTCCGTATGAGGTCGTCCTAAGAGTCTAACCCAACTCAAGCCGTCTGCAGTTCCTTCTGTAACATTTTGCGCGTCTGCCCAAACCACGCAAGAACGCCTGCCAACTCCCCACACTCGGCCCAACACAGCTTAGGGCCCTCGTCCCCCAAACACTGCGGGTAACCAATCTTTGTCGCGACTCACCACCATGGCCAGCGAAATCACCGAGCACGACCAGAACGCGTCGCCGTCAGTCCACGACGACGGCAATGGCACCATGGGCATGGAGAACCGCGGCGTCAAGCGTGCGCGCGCCGCTGCCGACGACGACGACGACGATGATGACAAGCCCGGCCGCGAGCGAAGAAAGATTGAGATCAAGTTCATCCAAGACAAGTCGCGTCGGCACATCACCTTCTCCAAGCGCAAGGCTGGTATCATGAAGAAGGTACGTTGGTGCTCGTTGAGCGCGCATCGTGGTGCATTTGCTCCCGCGTCGCATGAAACCGTTGCCTGCACCGAGCGCTCCGCTAACCATGGCACTCCCAGGCCTACGAATTGTCTGTCCTGACAGGCACCCAAGTGCTGCTGCTCGTCGTCTCCGAGACTGGTCTTGTCTACACCTTTACCACACCCAAGCTGCAACCGCTAGTCACCAAGCCAGAGGGCAAGAACCTCATCCAGGTATGCTGCAGCCACCGCCCAAGCTGTCGCGTCGCGTCACTAACACCCCGCAGGCCTGTCTCAACGCTCCCGAGCCATCAAGCGGCGACGCAAATGGCGTCGACAACGACACTGTCGAATCGCCAGAGGACAACCACGCCCAAGTACCGCCTGGCCAGCCACGCGGCATGCCGCCTAACAACCAAGCTATGCCCCAAGCCTACATGACGCCCGAGGCTGCTCTGCACTACCAGAGCTACCTCCAACAACAGCAGCAGCAGTCAAACCAGTATCCCATGGCGCAGCAAGGCATGCCCCGCCATCCTGGTGGCCACTACCCCCAGGACCAGAAGCTGGGTTAAACCTAATACACACATACTCTACCCACGCGGTAGCAGGTCACTACTCGGAAGGCGCATTAGTAACTGGATATGGATACCCACATAATGGCAAAAGTAATCACGGTGTCGCTCAACAAGCAATACGTAGGTGCATGGTATGCGATTTCGCATGCGACAGTGTAGTGAGAGTGAGAAGATATGATGTGGGCACGCAATGTCGGGGGGATGCAGTTGCACTTCCGAACGACTGTACGTCTTACGTGGATATTGGCGCAGTCTGTGGTTTCTTTATTCTTGTCATTTGCTCTCAATCAACATATTCAGCATCTCCTGTCACATTTACCAGGTGCTGTTTAGACCAGATCTATACCACTACCCATAGTCTCGGTCGAATTCAGTGCGTTAATTCACTCAAAGCTAGCCTCGTGGGCCGCTATCCGTGAGAGCTTAGTCGGGTCTGGGCATTGCTTCCTATTTCGTCGCCCGAACTTGCCTTTCTGGGAGAATAAGCTTGCCACCACAACTCAAAATCATGAAGTGTCCGCGGACCTGTCTTGGGCGTGACTTGAACAGATAGCTTGCGACATGCCTTCCTCATAGTCATCGCGGCATTTGGCTCAGCAAAGCAGGAGACATCCACCACACACATACACAAAGCTTGACTACTCCAAAATGTCCTATTACCTCTCTCTACTGGACAGCAAAGTTTGTTTCGCAGGAAAAAGGAAGGTGCAACGTTACCCATAGGCTCGTGCGCTACCCCGATGACGGCTCGATAACGGCTGAAAGCAAGGCTATTGTTGTCTGAACTAGAGACTCGAGCATGCCCTCGAGGAAATGTCACATCCGTAATTGTACGACCGCACTTAGCTTGTGCATCCTCTAGATTGCACTGTTGTAGGTGTGACCACGCACACTGTTCGACTCGATGTACCGGGAAGCTTTCCAGAGCCAATGCAACACTGGTACCGTCCCCTTTCGACGTTGCTTCGATTACTTGCGATGAAGACTACCTGAGTGACGATCGCAGCATTATCCTTCCATCAAGCGTGTCACTGTGTGACTGCGGCACTTGGCTGATATGTTACACAAGAAGGTACGCGTGTGGTACATGGGCAGTCGATCGACGCGACGGGTTGCGCCACCAACTACTTTGGAAACATCTCGAAGGCTGGGATACCTAGAACGGGATTGTTGAAGAGATGCAAAGAGCGCCACAGTCAAGCGTATGGGGCTGTGTAAGTGTGAAGACGTTCTCCGTATCATTGGCGGTAACTGCTGCAATCTGATCTGATCCCGTTACCTCTTCTTACTTGATATCGTCGTGTTTAAAACAAATTTTAGATGTGGGAGCGAGGTTTAAGCTTATACGAGAGAGGAGTAGTTTTGGTGCTGACAGCTGTCGTCATAGGGCTGATCTCCTCTTGCCAAACAACACAAGGTTACAACTACGGACCGCGCCGCAGAAATTCGCCGAAAAATACATATGGCTACTTGCATTTTGCGCCGATAGACACAGCATCAATGTAGTGTGACTGAAAGCTTCACGCTTTGCACAACCTCTTCTGCGCGTTGCCTCGATACCAAGTGCTGCTCATTACTGTTAGTCCTGATGTTGTCTGTGTAGCGTTTACATAGGATCCTCAAGCTGTCTATTCTCTTGCCTCGGCATTATCCCCTAGTAGCATCCCATTTGACAAGATGTCGGGAGTTGATTGCTTCTGTGCTACCCTACGCGTCATCCTGCCTCTCGGGTGCGGATGTCTACCCGCAGCAGGCCTCTTTACTTCTTCGAGCGATCCCCGCACCTTAGCATGCTAATGCCGGCTTTTAATAATCGCGCGTGTAGATACTATTCCGCAATGAAGACGTAACTTTTACGTCCATTTCTTCTATCTACCATACCATGGCCTTCGACCTTGGTCAAGATAGCGATTGCTATAGACTGTTTTGGAACTTCTTAACAACACATTGGATGCTCAATCTCGCGACCTGATAGACAATGGTTGCAATCTCTTCTAGTACAAGGCTGCCAGCCGTCGCGAAGACAGTAGAGAATGTGGCCTTGACGGCTATACCTACCTTTATTCCTCTAGGCTTGACATCTCCGCCAATATCTCGTCGTGCTTCTAGATTGCTGTTCAGACACATAGAGCTGGACCACCCCCAAACATTGATCAGAATATATAATGCAAAGCTTCACATCCGCGACTCAAACACATGCGAGTGTTGATATGCGATTCCACCACCGAGCACAACCAAGCCAAGCCGGACATGTTCCCCGCATAGCGACTCGAACAACTCGTGCATATGAGCCCAAGCTTTTCAGGTATAGAAATCCTGACTTCGGTGCTACTCCCGGCCTTAAACCACGGACTATCTAGGCGTCGCTATACCTTTTTTACGATTGCTTTTATTGCCTCGCTGTCTCAATTCGCTATCTCTTATCTAGCGTTGCTTTCTCCCCTGCTCATCACCCCACGTCTTACGCCCAGGCGTAGCCCGCCCCCAGACCGCGACATTCATCATGAGAAGCATATAAGCTTTATAGTTACTGTGTTGTCGACTTGGCGCGATGCGATAAGCCTTTTTGCCAAGTGCTTCCTTCAACAGCGTGGCTTCTTGCTCCGACTATATTACCCGTCGCTCACTCGTGCATTGCTTTCAAGTCAACTGCACCACCAAAGAAATCCAGAAATCATGGAGTCAAAGATAGAAAAACATCCCACTCCACACATCGCTCACGATGTAGAGACACAAGGCAAGTCCTCCATTGATGCAGACGCTCTCAAGCTAGCAGAGATGGGCTACACTCAAGACATGGCGAGAAAGTACACCGTCTGGTCCGTTTTGGGCGTCGGATTTTCAATCACAAACTCCTGGTTCGGTATATCAGCCGCTCTGATAACTGGCATCAATTCTGGAGGCCCGCTGCTCGTCATATACGGCATTATGCTCATAGCTCTCATCTCGACCTGCGTGGGTATCAGTCTCAGCGAGCTGGCAAGTGCGATGCCGAATGCGGGTGGACAGTACTTCTGGGCTGGTGAACTTGCGCCGAGACGGTTTACAAGACTCGCCAGTTACATGACGGGATGGTTGGCGTGGTGGGGTGCTATGTTTACGAGTGCGTCTGTGGCATTGGCTATGGGAAGTGCGGTAGTGGGTTGTTATCAACTTGGGCATCCTGACTTGTAAGCACTTCTTTCCCATACCTTCGCTTTATCTAGAGAGGTCCTTGAAAGTCTAAGAAACATGTACTAAGTATTCTCCCAGTGTCATTCAACCCTGGCATGTCTTCCTGGCAAGTAACGTCCCTGTAAGAACTGTATGCGAGACAAATACTGACTTTGTACGCCGATGTTTAGGCTTACCAACTCTCGAACATCTTCTGTTTCTTCTTCAACTGCTACGGCAAGATACTTCCCACAGTCGGCAAAACCACACTATGGATCTCACTGCTTTCCTTCGCCGTGATACTCATCACCGTTCCAGCCGTTGCGCCTACACACCAGCACGCTCGCTTCGTCTTCGCGACCTTTATCAATAACACGGGCTGGCAGCAAGATGGAATAGCCTTCATCGTCGGTCTCGTGAACACAAACTGGGCTTTCGCTTGCCTTGATTGCGCCACGCATCTCGCCGAAGAAGTACACCGGCCAGAGAAGATGGTCCCAATAGCCATTATGGGAACTGTGGGAATTGGGTTTGTAACGAGCTGGTTCTTCTCTGTCGGCATCTTCTTCTCGATTGTAGGGGACTTTGCTGAGATTGGCGCATCAGATACTGGAGTGCCTATTCTGGAGATTTTCTTTCGCGCGCTGCAGAGTAAGGCTGGAGCGACGGTTCTTGAGGCGCTTATCATAGCTACGGGACTGGGTTGCTTGGTCGCAAGTCATACTTGGCAGAGTCGACTATGCTGGAGTTTCGCGCGCGATCGGGGGCTTCCTGCTCATCGCTGGCTGGCCAAGGTACATGAAGGACTTGACGTGCCGCTCAACGCCCACTTAGTGAGTTGTGTTATCGTGGCTATCATGGGATGCCTGTATCTGGCTTCTTTGACAGCTTTTAACTCGTAGGACACCCTGCTGTTCGTGTGTGTGGGTACCAAAGCTGACGAGATGTAGGATGATAACGGCATGTATCGTTCTTCTGTACCTCAGTTACTCTGTTCCGGTCATCTGCCTTCTCATCCGCGGTCGCGACAAGATATCCCACGGGCCATTCTGGCTCGGTCCGGTCGGTCTCTTCGCCAATATTGTACTACTTGTCTGGACACTGTTCACACTGATCATGTACTCGTTTCCGTATGCGAAGCCTGTTGAGGCAGGGAACATGAACTGTAAGTGATGCCGTTTGGGCTAATATGTGTACCACTGACGGGACGTGTAGATGTGTGCGTTGTCTATGCCATTGTTGCTTTGATTGCCAGTGTAGATTGGCTGTTTAGAGGGAGGAAGAAGTTTGTGGTTGCCGGCGAAAGGAAGGAGGAAGGGGTGAACCCGGCTCCGAGAATCGTGGATCTGCCTGGGTATTAGGAGCGATGTTGAAGCAACACTGTGTGCGCGTGCACAGTATGTCATATTCTAAACACACTGAGCTCAGTGTCCATAGTTTATTCGGGATTCATGTCTAAAATATCAGTTTTGTGATGTGTGCAAGTTGCCGTGGAGATGAAAGAGGAATGTTAATAGGCTTGGCAAGTCAAACGCGCGCGAGTGGGGCGCTAGTGGATCGCGTCGCGTTTGCATGGGGGATGATTCTTAGATGCACTGACGTCTGCCATGTGCCTTTCTTCTGCGCAACACATCGCAACCACCGTCGTCCGCGCCCTCACTCTCGCCCCTTTGAGCCTAGCACGCTCTCTCACCGACGCTCCTTAATACGTTTAAGACTCGTCGACGGCCTGCGCGGCTTCTCTCTCTCCTTGTCCAACTACAGCGTCAAGCATTGAACGGGCGCGACGGATCCTCGCAGGATAGATAGCGTCTCATAGATAGACACAAGTGCAACTCCGCTGTGCTAGTGTAGAGACTCTGAGGGCGGTCAATGCCGAATTGCGTGCTGTCATCCCTCTGAGACATTGTGAGTGGGGCGTCACAACCAGGACGGGCCTGGGTGAGGGATCATGGCGGAGATTCTCGAGAAGATAAAGTAAGTACTCGGGCTCCCATCCATCGGCATCCTTCCACACCAGACGTGGCTAACCATCTTGTGTCTTGTAGTGAGCTCCGAGAGCTACCCGAAGAACAGCATCTGTTCTGTCCTCGCGTCGGCGACGACGGATCAGTATACTACGATGAAGACGTTGCCGCGTATCCGCCCGAAACCGATGCCAACGAACTCGCCGACCGCAAGCTCAAGCTTCTAGCTGCCGAAGACCGGAAATGGACAGCCCTCAAGGCAGCCGAGATATTGGCCTTCGACGGGGAGGAAGCAGCGCCACACAAAGAATGGCTCGTCAGCCGCCTCAACAGCCTCATGCAAAGCTGCGATGTCTGCGTGAGAGTCTTCCACCAGAGCAGAGCAGAATGGCGAACACGGCTGATTGATTCTTACGACGAGGACAACATTGGGGACTTTCTACAAGTAGTAGACAGCCAATGCCTGGGTCGCATACAAAAGGGCTTGGACGAGGCCAACGAGATACTGAGTAAAGCTGAGCCCAAGACGCGCTCAGTCCGCCTGCTACCCAACGAATGCACATATGGTTTCTTCGAAGCGCTTAGCTGCGACGCCCTAATACGGAACGAGGAACTCCTCCAACGGCATTTCGATGCACCATTCGACATGGTCCAAACGAAGAAGCGGCTGAAGATTCAGACATACCTTCCGGCCATGACCCGTTTCTTATTCTCTAGGGTTGATAGGCGGCATAAATGGGCGACAGAGTCCTGGTCTACCTTCAAGCGGAATCTACTCAAGTCCGAGTGGGAGTGGGCTGTACGGGATTACGTCACAAGTGTCATGATGAAGGTCCAAATGAGCAATCTGGATTTATCCGTGGTACCACTCTTTTGGGGCGGCATGCGGCTCATAGTAGCAAAGATGGACAGGGAGGTGATCACCGACTCGTTGCGCGGCCTTGACGGAGACTTCTATCGTCTGATGCTTGATCATCTTTCACTAAAGTCCGAAGGCTTTCTGGATCTGATTGCGACCATGAAGCAGTTACTAGAAAAATCCCCCATCGATTACTGGGATGGCATGAATGCTGTAACTTCCTCAATCGCTACAGTGGTAGAACAAGTGTTCAACAGCCCGATCCTGAATCAACTCCTTCTCGCAACTGCAGAGGGGAACGAACAGAATATGAACAACCTTCATGCTGCCTTCAGCTGGATTCCGGTCTTCCTGGACTCCATCAAGCTATCCAATCTTGGACCGGCGGTCCGGCCGTTTGCACACGCGTTGCTCGGTCGCTTCCAGTCTGATCGGTACCCCCCAGTGGCTCGAGCCTACTGCTACAAGGAAGGTCTGAAAGTTTTAGATTATACCTTTCGCAAGATGGGAGAAGGTAAAGGCATCGACAAGTTTGTTGGGCAGCCAACCGTCAACGGCATGCTGGATCTGCTATCAACCTTCATACAGTCCCTCGTCACAAGCCTCAAAAACTTCAAACACAACAAGGAAAATCAAGAGGATATGCAACTGACCCTTTCGGTGATCGAGCATGCGTTCAAGCTGGAAGCACAGTCCCTCATTATCGAGAGGCAACTTATCTCTGCAAAAGCACCATCGCCCACCCAAACACCGCCATCCAGTCCTATATGGAAGACAGTTCTACGAGCAATAGGTCCAGACAGCTTAGAGCTTGCAACACATCTTCTGATTGCTGGCAGGGGTCTGATCGGGCTCGAACCACTTCAGATGAAGTCGGGTGTCGACAAGGTGCCCCCAGAGGTACGACACTTCAATGATCGATTCCGGCTGCTCTCTCAATCAATCACCGATGTCGTGGAGAAGATGTCAGAATTTGAGCCCACCCTATTACAAGCCTTGTTCGGACAACAGCCTGCAGCGAGTGCCATCGTTTCCCTGATGTTCTCGTCCACAGAAGATACGCGCAACTCTGCTATCGAGCTGTTGAAGGTCATAAGTGGAGAAGAGGAACGTCGTGGCGCTTTGCAACACATCTTGAGAGCTCATTATAGGCACGTCGTTCGGGGTATCTCAGATTCAGTTCGGCAGGTTCGACTCAAGAAGGCGTTTGCACCCGCACCAAGTATGATCCGAACATGCACAGATATCATCGACATTATTTGCAACTCTCAAGACGGAATTTTGCGAGGCCGGGAATACGACTCTGGTGATGCTGCAGCGACGATGAATCTATGGGAGAATCTATGGGATTCACTTACGATGATTTTCGCCACTACTGAAGCCTGGAGCAACTTGGGTTTCTACGACAAAAATATGATGATGGACTTTTGCCGAGACACTATGCAATTTGCTGATGTGTTGTTCGACCAATGCAGCATCTTTGCTACTGCCCTGAAGCCGCCTTCTTCCGATGAAGATGAAACAATATCGAAGACCGCTCTCCTCAAAGAGCTTTTGGCACAGCCGGCGAATGCCATGGAGGGTCTGGCGAAATGGCTCCGTCTTCGTGACGAGTTCTTGTCTAGCAAGTCTGTCACTTTGATCAGCAAGCTTCTTGTTCGGCTGCATCGTGTGTCTATCGACATTGATTCCAACGCTCTTTCATACATGGAACGCGTGCTCTCAGGAGACGTCCGCGCGAAGCTGAGCGACACGCAACAAGCTGAGCTGCAACAAGCGCTCGAGGAGCATCTCGGCCGCCCACTCGTGAAGGAAGAGGAGCCCGCAAAACCCAAGCAAGCCATGATCAGCAAATGGATGGCTCCGGGTGCGACACAGTCACCAGCAGACGCCAAAGCAAAATTGCTTGCTAGTATGACTTCTGGATCTAGTAAGTTTCAGGAACGGCGGGAGCAGATGAGAGCATCTGAAACGAAGGCCGCCCAGCAGAAAGCTCTCGACGATAAGAAGAGTGCCCAACAGGCCGAATTCAAACGCAAGCGGCAGCTTGCACTACAACAGCGGGAGAAAGAGAAGGCCGCTGCGATCGCTAAGTTGAAGGCAGCTAGGGGCGTCTCAAATCACGTTGCCGAAGCTGGCTCAGGTCTTGAGGGCCTGGGTGTGTTAGGCAAAGATCAGGCTGCAAAAGGAGAAGGCTTAATGCATTCTTCCGACGAGTCATCGGACGAAGAAGGCGATATTGATGAAGACCTCTTTGGCATTAAGAAGACCAAAGTCAAGACTGGACCCAAGACAAACATTGTTAACGAAGTCAAAATCCAAATGCCGACGAAGAAAAAGCGGGCTCAGCGTTCTGCCAAAGACATGCGCGCTCGTCTGGCGCCTGATCTGAGCAGCCTTCATCGAACTATTCTCAGCTGGAACTACTTCCACGAGGGTCCGTTCCCGCCCAAGTCCCGGCCGGACATGTATTCCAAGGTCCTCAGTACTTTCCGCACACCCAACGATTACCAAAATACCTTCGAACCGCTTCTGACCCTAGAAGCATGGCAAGGTTTCGTCAAAGCTCGTGAGGAGAACCAAGCTAAGCCCTATGAAATAAGGTTAACTTCGCGAGCCGCTGTCGACATGTTCCAAGAAGTCGGCAGTACGATGACTCATGTTGAGAATAAGGAAGTTTTCATCTCAGAAGGTGACATTATACTCTTTGCCAAATCCAAGTCACCCTCTGCGGATGAGCCAACATGTCTCGCCAGGGTGTTCCGTGTGAAGAGAAAGCAGCAACACATCGAAGTCTCGTACCGCGTAGTACCTGGTAACCCTCTCTCGACCGCACTGCAACCAAACAATACGATTCTGGGCTTCAAACTCGAGTCAATCACATCTCTAGAGCGCGAGTACGGTGCGCTGAAAGGTCTCCAGTATTACGATCTGTGTGACGAAATTATCCGGGCGAAGCCTTCTCCGCTTTTGACCTACAAGGATAGCCAGATCCAGCCACTCATTTCTAATTACAATGTGAATCCGGCACAAGCGAAAGCTATCAAATCCGCCATCGACAATGATGCGTTCACTTTGATCCAAGGGTAAGACACAACATCCATACATTAGTGAGTGAATTTCTAACCATATCCACAGACCGCCCGGTTCCGGAAAGACGAAAACCATCACTGCTATTGTAGGAGCTATCTTGAGCGATAGCCTTCGAAACCGCGGTACTGCGATCGCTGTTCCTGGCCAACAAAACTCGAATGCTGCTCAGAAGAAGCTACTGGTCTGCGCGCCCAGTAATGCGGCCGTGGACGAGTTGGTCATGCGTTTCAAAGATGGCATCAAAACCCTCAATGGCGAGTCGCGCAAACTCAACATCGTACGTTTAGGTCGAGGAGACGCCATTAAAGCCAGTGTACAAGATGTGACCCTGGAAGAGCTTGTCAATAAACGCCTCGGTGTTGACTCATCGAACGGCAACGACCGAGAAGCGACACAGAAGCTCTTCCAGGAACACAAACAAGTCTCTGATCAATTGAAACAAGCCTATCAGCAACGAGATACTGGTGAGACTAAAGGAGAAGCTGCGGCCAAGCTGGACGACGACATCAACGCGCTACGCAGGCGCAAGACAGCCTTGGGAACCAAGATTGACAATGTCAAGGATGACGAGAAGCTTGCCAGTCGTAACGCAGACCTGAACAGACGACGTGCACAAGAAGCTGTTCTGAACGACGCGCACGTTATCTGTGCGACACTCAGCGGTTCTGGACACGAAATGTTCCAAGGGCTAAGTATCGAGTTCGAAACTGTCATTGTCGACGAGGCTGCTCAGTGTGTGGAGATGAGCGCACTTATTCCTCTCAAGTACGGTTGCGCCAAGTGTATCCTGGTTGGAGATCCAAAGCAACTTCCTCCAACAGTCTTCTCGGACAAGGCGAAAGGTTTCCAATATGAGCAGAGTTTGTTCGTTCGCATGCAAAAGAATCACCCAGACGATGTGCATCTGTTGGACACACAATACCGTATGCACCCGGAAATCAGTTTGTTTCCTAGTCGAACGTTTTACGATGGTCGCCTCCTGGATGGCGACGACATGGCTGGTCTACGTCAACGACCATGGCATCAGAGTATGTTGCTTGGACCCTACCGCTTCTTCGATGTCCAAGGTCAACACCAAGCTGCTCCAAAGGGCCATTCGCTCATAAATATCGCTGAGATCAATGTCGCGATGCAGCTGTACAAACGAGTCACTTCCGACTACCCCGATTATGATTTCAAAGGCAAGATTGGCATAATCACACCTTACAAGAGCCAACTGCGCGAGCTGAAACAGCGTTTTATGAACGCATACGGTCAGAATATCATTGAAGACATTGATTTCAATACCACAGATGCTTTCCAAGGTCGTGAAAGCGAGATCATCATCTTCTCCTGCGTACGAGCCTCCCCAGCAGGCGGCGTTGGTTTCCTCCAGGACATTCGGCGTATGAACGTCGGTCTCACACGTGCCAAATCGTCTCTTTGGGTCCTAGGAAACTCTGACTCGCTTATGCGAGGAGAATTCTGGAAGAAGCTTATAGTAGACGCGAAGGAGAGGAAGCGGTTCTCTGCTCAAGACGTGCCAAAGATGCTGAACCAACATTCCAGTAAATTTCCGGCACCAAAAGAAGGTTATGTACAACCTCACCGTCCTACAACAGAGGTTAAACCAGAGGTCAAACCAGAAGTCAAACTAGAAGTGAAGTCGGAGCCCATGAGCAGGTCTGCAAGCAACCAGTCTAGTACATCTTCAGGCTCTGACTCGAAGTCTATCAAACAAGAGGTCAAGACGGAAACCAACGACGAACAAATACTGGTACATCACGAAAAGCGGAAGTTTCAAGACATCGCTGGTCTTGATAAAATCAAGCTTGAGAGTAGCGATGCAGAAATGAAGGATGCTCCATCTGATTCTGCCTCCAATACAATGAATGGAGGCAGTGGCCGATCAACACCTGCCGCTATTGCCGATGCATCGCGCAAGAGCTCGACACCCAGTGGAGAGACAAGCAACGGGACGAATGGTGTGGTCGCTCCCCCGCCCGGAGATGTCATCGGCGGCATGTCGATGGCAAAGCCTAAAATCCGTAGGCGGCCTCGTGAACCACCAAACCCTTTCATCAAAAATAAGAAGCCAAGGAACGGCTGACGGTACAGCAACCTAACCGGCGGGAGGGGCCGAAGTGGCATTATTTTCCTATGTGCATGCTTCAGCAATATTCTCTTTCTATTAGCATTTGGCGCCTTCTGAATGGGCGGACACTTTCATTAGCATTGCCCGGCGTTCATTCATATCTTTATGTATACATAGCTATCCGAGACTATCTCTTTCTGGGGCCATATGCCCTGTATCACATCGGACGAAGATCGGCCACGAAACCTAAAAAGGCACTTCGTGGCTAAAATCCGGCAAGTAACGATCGACATGCGTGCCGTGTGCTTAATCGTTTCCCCGGAACATACATTTACAGCATGTTCTGGGCTCCAAATGCGGAAATTGACATCTTTCGGTCCATTGCGCACGTCGTGTATAACGCGTCTATGTGTGGTCGCTGTGGTCGCGAATGCACTAGGGCCGTGACTTTGTCCCGCTAGTCAGGCGCTCCCGTACCACCATGACGCACACCGCCCATTGCCGATTGTTGGTTCCTGCACCCCATACTCTTCAAGCGAGAATCAACGATCCGTCTGACGCATGAATCAGCATGGCGTCTCTTCCAGTTTCTACCAGAGCGTAGTATCAGCAAGGCTCTCCCTATTGCCGCCGGATCGGGCAAGCCGCATGGCATTCACAATCTTTTGTACTACCGGGCGGCCAATCACCTTCGCACACTTGTACTACATACTTATGCACCCAATTATCGTCGTCGTCCAGTCGCACATTTCCCAGATCGTGGCTAACTTGCAGCATGCATTTTAGTGCGATCTTCACTATGTTTTGTGAGCAGCGAACTAATAATTCATACTCCCCGGATGCAGTCTTCCTTTCCTTCACGCATATTTCCAACATTCCTTTGCACTAACAGTATCCAATTTCAATATCTTTCGCGACAAAGAACCTCTTCCAATCTGTGCACGACCTCGTTATCGACTACCGGCTTCGCTGTCAACGCGCTGTAGTGTCACGTTGCCTCGCCTCTCAGCACCACGAGCTCGAGAAGTGATCCTTACCCTCAGATTCGCCCCTGATTACACTACATGACTTTCCTCCTCTCAAATTTGAGAACCTGTCTCATCTGCATCAAGCTTGAGCGTGAAGAGAGCTGCCGGTCGCCATATTTTCCACACACTAAAGTCAGATCAAAGCCGCCCCTGCCAATCATCGATACGAACCCTTCATCTTACCCCTGGTTGGGGTAGCAGCCAACAATCAGCATACTTCATGCAATACAACACGACTGCATCTGCTGAGTTTGTGATCTCCTGGTTGTGCCACGTTATCACCCAGCGTACCCTGCTGAGCTATACTCACGGCTCGCGCTTAGGCATCAAAACGAGAAGAGGATCGCAATCCGGACATTTGTTTTCAGGGTAAATGCCAACCAGGTTGCAGATATGATCTCGTCTGCTTCCACAGAAAATCTTTTGAACTCATTTCCAATGTTCGGGCACACCAGCTGGAGTGTTCTTGAATATGCCTGGGCGCTGGAAGAGAGTTCTAAGATGAACACAAGCGTGACGTCTGAGTCGTCCATGCGCAAGTCAACGGCGTCGACGCAGGACGAAAACACCCCACCGACCACTGCAGGGACTCAACCGACTGGCTGCGAACTTTCACCGCCGGTGCGGTTTATAGATGAGTTTGGCTGTCAACAAAGACGCAAACACAGCTTTCTCAACCACACCCCACGAGACTTCGAAATGCAGCCCACAAAGCCATGTAACATCTATCAACCTTCAGGAACTTCGAAGGAGAACTATTCCCGTCCTAGGACATCGCAAGGAGCTCGTTCAATGAGCAACAATTGTACTACCACCAGTCCACATGCCTATAGCTCATCGATAGTGTCTCATACAACCGGGGAGTCCACTCCAAACGAGTTTGAGAATGCGACCGAACCTGACTCCAAGGAGATCTCGTCGCCATCATCATCAGACGTCTATCAGCCATCGGGGAAGCCATGTCGACGCTCGTCGTCTGTCCCTTTGGCCAGGGTGCTTACATACGAGCCGCGCTCTGCCTTCCCTTGTGAAGATGCAGATCGCGATGTCAGCATTCGAATTGCAAGGTCACCAATAACTCGCCCACAAGACAAGAAGCGCCAGCGGCGCCAAACGCCGTTCAAAGTCACGACTCCAAGTTTAACAAATGCTACACGACATGCGCCACTGGAACCCCTAGTTGCCAAGCACCGACGCAAGGCTAGCTACGACACTATGAGCGAGATGCTGCCTGAGATAGAAACGGAGCAAGTTGGAGAAATGGGTACTTTTGGAGTGATCCAAAGATACTTCGACAGCCAGACGGGCGGTCCAGTATCAGTAGCGGAAACACTTTGCCACGCTTATTCGCCAGACCCGCAAGATATTCCTCTTCCCATGTCTCCTGAACCACCTGTTTCTGAGACGACCAGAAAGCCTACGGAGATCCATGCTATTGGTGAGCTCGATCTGGATGAGCTACCACCAACAGTACCGGGCCGTAGCCCAAAGCGGCTCACAAACCCAACATTTCCAGCTCAGACTGAGTCAGCCATCTCTGCGCATGGCGAGTTTGCCTTTACAGCTGACGAGCAACATTCGTCTGGTGACGAGAATGACAAGCTGGAAGATAATTTCCACGTCCCGAAGAAGCGAATATCAAAACGCCTCGATGTAGGACAAGCTGGCCATGTAGGTTCCTCGCAGGTAGGACGGTTGGCGCCACCAATTCTTAGTCACGATGCACTGACAGCAAGCGCTGATCTGGGCCTGAATGATCTCAGTTACTACCTCAAGCACACTGGACCAGGCACGGATTCTCAGCCTACCATACAGCAGCGCAAGAAGACGATGGTACTTTTCAAGGTCAAACAGCGCAAAACCCTAGCTGCTCGCGTAGGATCTGTGGAAGGCTCTCCTGAGCGAGCACGCAAACAGTCTCCTATCCCAACGTGCGCTCGCGAGATGACAACCTCCGGAGGCGCAAAACATCTCAGAATCGTCATACCGACTGAGAGTCCTTGCAACACTCAGGTGATGGCTGTCCCAACATCGCAGTTTCCGACACAACGACGCTCTCGACATATTTCCATTACGTTTAACAGAGAGATTCTCAGCCCTGTCGCCAGCCAAGGTGTGGAGCGCAAAATGTCCGACCCTGAAATTCTCAGTCGTTCATTCTCTGAGCCGGTCCCGGTATCGCCGCGCAGCTTGAAAGAGCTTCCTAAATCAGCCGAAGCAGTACCCATCGAAGACTATCCGCTCGCAGCATCACCTAAGCTCGGGCCGCGAATAAGTCGAGAATATCAAACCAGAGCTCGGAAGCTGCGAGACTTGCAGCGTGTTAAGCGAAAGCCGTTACCAGGATACTACGAGCAAAAAGAACAGCATTCCGATGTTGTCGTGGGAGCCTTGCCAACACCAGCGCATACACCAGAGCCGCTTTCAGAATCAAATATTGAAATCGACAGTGGCCATGATGGAGGCATAGAGGATGAGAGTATAATTAATAAGATGGCGCGAATGCAGGAGCGGGTCGTGATATTGCAGAGACAGAACATGGAGTTGACAGAGGCGTTGGCGAAGATTGTAGGCCTCGAACTCGGGGACGGTGATTTGAGGCCTGAAAATGTGTTGAAGGCGCTCAGGCAAGTTGAGGTTTTGCAATGAGAATTGAGATTGCAATAGGTGAGGCAACTAGGTAGTTGGGCTGGTCTCTGTTGTTACCCTGAAGTCGCAATACGAGACGTCACGATTGCTTGTGACCGAATAAGGCTGGTGCATTATTGACACGAGAATGCTCCTGAAGATCATGACGAAGCTTCCCTGAAAGTTCCAAATTTAGCTCTGGTTCCTGAATGCTTGGCGTGTTCTCCAGCTACTAATAACACATATAGTAGCCACCTTGCTGTGCTTGAAGAAGATTGGAGTTTTTCTAACTTTTGGTTTACGTCGCCCTCTGAACATATCGTTGAAGCTCACAGTAAGCTCCTAGCCCTCCTCGGTATCGTGGTTCTGTTCTCACCGCCCCTCTTATCGATAAGTCGCAGAAACGCCCCGCGACCCCCAGTCTCGCGCAGTAGCACCAGCTCCGGAAACAGGTCGATCGCGTCGTAAGCTTGTTTATTCTCCTACACCCTCTCGTCTTCTCACCTCCCGGACTCAACCCAATCTCAGCCCACGATGTCATCGACGGAAGGCCCGCTCTTCAGCTCTGAGCTCATCTCCCCCGAAGTCCTCAAAGCACTCCCAGAGGGCTACAGCTGTCGACCGCTCGAGAGGAAAGACTACCACAATGGCTTCCTGGATGTACTTAGAGTGCTCACCACGGTGGGAGACATAACTGAGGAGGTACGAAATCTTCTCTTTTCCTTAGAATACGCACACGAGAGTCCCAGAGTCCCAGGGCCCTCACAAACATGCGTAAAGCGTATCACTAACATGCTTTCCAGCAATGGAACGAACGTTACGACTGGATGAAGACTCGCAACGACGAATACTACCTTCTCTGCATCACCAACTCATCCAATGCCATCGTCGGCACCGGTGCCCTCATCGTCGAGCGCAAGTTCATCCATCAACTCGGCCTTGTCGGACACATTGAGGATATTGCCGTGGCCAAGGACCAGCAGGGCAAGAAGCTCGGACTGAGGATCATCCAGGCGCTCGACTTTGTCGCGGAGAAGGTGGGCTGCTACAAGACTATTCTGGACTGTTCAGAAGCAAATGAAGGATTCTACGTCAAGTGTGGTTTCAAGAGAGCAGGACTCGAGATGGCGCATTACTACGGGCGCTAAGGGCTGAGCTGGGGTCAGTTGGGACGTGCATTATGGAGGCGTTTTCTAGGGCTTGAAGGGACTATTAGATCTATGAGAGATAGAGATTCGATAGACTCCAGCTACATACTAGAGCTTTCACGACATAATGGCTCAAAGCTATGTGCAAAAGCCATCGAGTTACGTCATGGCTTATACGTGCGCCTGCTTCCACTGTTCCGTGGTTTCATCGACATTTGCACCCTAAGTACAAGCATAGATAGGAACCTAGACTGTACGGCCGTCATGACGCATGTGGAGCTTCAGCTAAGAATGTATCAAGAAGCGCATTTGATTTGTGTTCCCAGTTGGTTTTCGTCGTGTTCATTACTCTTTCGGACTGTGGTGGACCGACTAGAACCCATTTTGCTCGGTTGCACTTCTCACACCAACACCATTGTCACCATCACCCATCTTGAAGGAATAAAAACCAACCAAAATCTTCGAAGTCAGATACCTACTAGTGAAAAAACCCTTTACATGCTGTCTGGATTACCGCGACTCGATAAACGCTTGATTTGTGCGAATTTTGGAACCAAGTTTGTGGGCTAGTCACTCCAAACCAAGAGATAGATCAACCAGAATGGGTCAAGACGAACAAACAAGGAGTCACAGAAACGAATCATCCATTACCGAGGCACAAGATAATCGTTCCGGGGTGGAAGAAGCGCAACCGGTAACGAAAGTCGAGAACCGAGAACTTACAAGTGACAAGTTCTCACCTTACGACGTATCCAGTGCACCCAAGGTTTCTAGTGGCCTTCCATCCGAGATATGGGCTATCGTACAGTCTGCGCCAGCGAATATTGCGCCTCGGTATTTCCTTGAGGTCTGTCGCGATTTGCTTGAGAATCCGAACCGGACTTCAACGCATTTGGCACGCGCAGAGCTCTCATATCAAAGTTTCACAGACGCTACGTTCAACCCAAAAGCCAGTACTTCAGAGGATCTCGCAAGCATTGTCAAGCACCTGCGACCAGAATGCCGACCGCAACTGATCGATGGAGGCATAGAAGGGTACGAGCTAGAATACACGGTTGTGCGGAAACTCATACCCCGGAATCCGAAGTTGGATGACTCGCTGATGCAAACCTGTCACCTGTTTGTGTCGCATCAGGACGTGAACATCATCGGTCCAGATGGAGCTGAGGATATCGTAAAAGCAGAGCGGTACATGATGATATACATCCCTCACGCTGCCACATTGGAAGCTATCCCCTATTACCATCCTAAAGTTCGTTCTTTAGCAATGCTATATACCCACTTCCCAACTTCCTCTCACTCACCGCCTACATCCCTGATCAATTCATCTGGGCATCTGTCTATTCATTACTCTTTCTTCCCGGACCTTCCGATCGACAATCGTCTCTCCCGCACGGCTCTTAAGCTTCTGGAGGTCATACACAAACACTCACGCGGCCGGCAGGCAGGGTACACGAAACGCGTTCACCACGACCAAATAATTGGACAAAAAAGATTCCAAGATACATATGCATACCTAAAGGGCAAATATGCGAAAGATTTGATCGAGGGATGGGTGGAGCAGACACCCGCCGAAAAACATGTCTTTGAGGATCTAGGCATTGCAGCGTTTCTGATGGAGCTTTGGGGAGACATGTACAGCTCCAAGAACGGTACACACAAGCAAGATGACGGAGATGAGCAGGTGGAGCAGAAAAGGCAAATAGCACAGGCCAACTTCCCGGGCTTCGTAGATATCGGATGTGGAAACGGTCTTCTCGTCCACATTCTCAACGCCGAAGGCTGGCATGGTTGGGGCTTTGACGCCCGTCGCAGAAAGACATGGGATACATTCCCATCAGAACACGCCCAAAAGCTTCAAGAGATGCTTCTGGTACCGGAGATTGTTCAGCCATATTCTTCAACCTCGACTGATCCCCCAACACCACACCACAACGGTGTCTTCCCATCCGGCACCTTCATCATCAGTAATCACGCCGATGAATTGACACCTTGGACGCCGTTGCTAGCCCGACTAAACTCTTCGCCTTTCATCGCCATACCTTGTTGTTCGCACGACTTTGGTGGCACGAGATTTCGCTCGCCGGCGCACGCCAAATATATCATCGCTGATCCAGCCACAGCAGCGTCGAAGAAGCCCAAGCAGCCTTCTGCATACGCTAGTCTGTGTAGTTGGGTGTGTCATCTGACCGAGGAGACGGGGTATCTTGTCGAAAAAGAACATTTGAGGATTCCGAGTACGAGGAATATGGCTGTACTGGGGAGGAAGTCGCTCAAAGGAGACGAATGTGGGAATAGCCACAAAAACATGGAGGAGAAATTGGCGTCGTTGCGAAGTTTGGTAGAACGAGAAATGGGCGGGCAGACTATTGGGTACATTTGCGCCATGTGGATGAAGAGTGGCGATGGGCTGATGAAGACTGCGAAAGGCGGGCATTGAGATATATGTGTCTATGTCGTTATAGATCAGAAGCGGAATACTAAGAGCTCATGACCCCCCAGACTACTAGCAGTGAAACGAACATGGGTCTGCCCAATGCAAGGTACCATATGAAGACGCATACATAGGAAACACGTCAGAGGAAGGGTTCACTGAAGGTGTTATGGGGTATCATTGAGGACATGGTCGTCCAAGACTGCGTCATCGCAACTTAGACAAGCGATCCATTCGTAGTATCATCCGGTCATTTCGCCGTTTCCGATCCCATTTTGTAATGCAGTAAAGCCCGACATGAAGATGAAACCGTATCTAGCCTTACTCCAGAAAGTCCTCAACTGCTTACGAAGCAGGAGCAGCACCACGTCCACGTCCAAAGCCACCACGGAACTCGGGCTTGAACTCGCCAGGGGCACCGCCCTCAGCCTTCTCGCCAGCGTCACGGCGGCGGTAGCCGTCGCGGTCACCACCACGGTCACCACCACGTCCACCACGGCCTCCACCACGGCGCTCACGGTCGTCACCGCCGAGCATACCCCGGGGAGGAGCAGAGCGCTGCTGCTTGATGTGGGTCTGGGGAACGATCTCGGCAGGGAGGTGGAGCCATTCGCGGAGGTAGTCGAGACCCTCAGGGGTGAGGGTGTAGTAGTACCATTGCCACGAGAAGCGGGTCTTGAGGTAACCGCGCGAGGTCAAAGACTGGCCTGTTGGTTGTTAGAACCTGACGGAGTTGCGGAGCAGTCGGTGGTACTGACAAGCCTTGACAACGTAAAGGTTCTTAGTATCAATCTCGCCGTGCTTGGGAAGGTTGAAGTCCTTCTTAGCAACGAGAACTCCCTCTGTGGTGACCGTGTGTCAGCCTGTCCTTATATGCAGCAGAGCCGCGAAAATGTATAATTGTGCCATAGCCATGGCTCGCGAGTACGTGGGGATACTAACCTCGGAAGAGGTACCTGGAGAGACAAATGTTAGCCAATCTGTTGACGAGTATAGTGTAGAGTCAAATGTAGCTCAGCTCATATCAAGTCGTATCATTTCGTGCGAAACTCCGAGCTCGACTGCGCCGTGACAATGACGATTGTAGAGGTAGACTAACTCGTGGATCTTCTTGCGGTCGGCCTTGGGGATGAGCATCTTGACGGGTTGCGAAAGACTCGGGAATGCTAGGAGTGGTTGAAGGTCGATGAGTTCAGAAGTTCGCTGGGTGATAGACGATTTCGAGCAAAGGTGCGAGGCTAGTCTAAGCGAGCGCTATGACCATCTGTTGTGGTTCCGCCAAGGCCGGCCTGCTCCTCTCCAATCTTCAACTGCCGTCGCCGCCCTGCCTAACCAAACAACTTTCACCCTTCCCACGCGCAACTCAACTCGCAATTCACAGCATCAAAATCTGTATTCGCACTCCGTATCGTAACCTGCAACCATGGACGCCACCATGCAGTCTCCGATTACCATCATCGTCAACAGCATCCGCGGGCAAAACATCGCCTTCGCAACGCAAAAAGACGCGCCTCTTACTTCCATCTACGACACGCTCTATGAACGTGCGCCATGGATCCAAAACTCGTCTTACATCCTGACCACCAACTCGCGCCGCTCCGTTCGCCACGACGCTGCACCAGTGTCATCTCTCCTCTCCTCGCCCGCAGATACCTTTCTATCGCTTCGTCTGACGGTACCGCTATGTGGTGGCAAGGGTGGTTTCGGGTCAATTTTGCGCGCCCAAGGTGGTCGCATGTCCTCGCGCAAGAAGAAGCAGGGCGACGTGAATGGATCATCCCGCAACTTGGACGGGCGACGCCTGCGCACAGTCACTGAAGCCAAGGTACTCGCCGAATACCTAGCGATCAAGCCGGAGATGGAGCAGCGTGAAAAGGAGGAGCGCCGGAAGAAGTGGGAGGACATTGTGGCCAGTACCGAGCGGAAGCAGGAAGAGCTACAGGACAGCAGAGGCACAGCACGTCTTGATGGCAAGTGGGTTGAGGACAAAGAGGAAGCAGAGAACAAAACGAGGGAAGCTATTGAGAAGATGCTTATGGCGCAAAGAGACAGTTCAGAAGAGGAGGACGACGCTCAACCGACCGCTTCTTCATCAAAGCCTGTTCAACAGCGAGCCATGTTTGGCTGGGACGACGAAGATGAAGAATTCATGAGCGACAGCGAAGAAGAGGACGTGAAGCCAGTAATTGAAGGGAAAGGAAAAGCAATGGCCGTCTAAGGCTTGTCGTAAAGCCATTAGTTTTGGAGCAAGGAGTTTGTTTTGAGCAGCATGCAAAGGCGCCATGATCATTTTACCCAGTTCGTCGATAGATACCCAATACCAGTGAAAACGCTCTTAGTACATGGAGCATGGTCTTTTGGCCATTGTAACCCTGCATCGTCTCCATCTTGAACAACTAACATACTAGCAAACAAAATTGCCGCTGGTAAAATCCAGACTACTATAACCATTTTATCCTTGCATACTCCGACACACCTCAGCCGACGGATAACCTGCATATCAGGAAGCGGAATAGTCCCGCGCTACTGTTATCGGACATCCGACCCACTCCTTCCCTACGACTGGGCGCCTGCCATGTCATGCCATCCTTTGAGATGCCGACTTCCATAACCCGTGCCGCGATGGTTTCCGTCTCTTCTCTTTCTCACTTGATTTCACGAAATGGCTCTGTCAGCTAACAAGTTCACTGTTGCGCTCCGCGTTGCGAGTAGGCGCTACCCCGCATTGATAGCTGTACCGACTTCAAGAGCAAGGATAGGATGCAAGCATGTCAGATGCTTCTCCCATTCGCCACAATGGCAGATCAGAACCAAGGAGCTGAACGATGATTCGATGAAGGATCTGAAAGTCAATCAGGCGAGGTTGATGGAAGACATACACCATACATGTCAATGGGGTATAGGCGAGCCTTGGGGCGAGTATGTAGTCCAAGCACTCGATAATCATGCAGCTGACGATAACAGGAAGTCAACGGAGACGGGCATGAGTCGACTGGCGCTCTCTGATGCCGACAAAGCCGCACGTGACTGGTTCGCAGAGACCACAAAGTCGCTCGGCTGTGAAGTCACTGTTGATGCCATGGGAAATCAGTTCGCTGTTCGTCCTGGACTAAGAAATGACAAGCCGCCTACATTTGTTGGGAGTCACTTAGACACACAGCCTACTGGTGGGCGATACGATGGAATTCTGGGAGTCACTGCTGGTGTGGAAATGCTCAGAGTGCTCTCCGACAATTGGACAGAGACTGAATACCCTGTCGGAGTTGTCAACTGGACCAATGAGGAGGGCGCTCGGTTTCCAATGTCGATGGTCTCTAGCGGAGTTTGGGCAGGGTCACTCCCTCTTGAAACGGCACATAATCTCCGTGAAGTTCACCCTGGAGCTGCAACCATGAAGTCTGAACTTGAGCGAATTGGGTACCTAGGAAGTACGCCAGCGAGCTACAAGTCCATGCCCATGGCGGCGCACTTTGAGTTGCATATCGAGCAGGGTCCCTTGTTGGAGATGGCAAACAAAAAGATCGGAGTTGTCACTGGAGTTCAAGCTTACAAATGGATGACAGTCAAGGTCAAGGGACGAGACTCGCACACTGGAACCACGGATCTCAAGTCACGGGCTGATGCTCTACTAACAGCAAGCAAAATGATATTACATTCCCATCGCCTCGCAACCGCCAACTCTGCGTTAGCATCCACCGGTATACTCAACCTTAAACCTGGCTCGACAAATACAGTACCTGGAGATGTGTCATTCAGTCTCGACATCAGGTCACCAAACGACGAGACGGTTGCAAAGATGAAAGAGCTAGTTTTGCGCGACTTCCCCAAGATAGCTGCAGGTGAAGACGTTGAGGGCTCGAACCACGGCTGCACAGGCGGTCTTCCACTTACTGTTGAGATAATCGAGGATTTTGATAGCCCAGCAACAAAGTTTCACGCAGATTGTATCACCTCTGTCAGCCAATCTGCGCGTAGCATCCTCGGCCCCAATCAGTCTATGGAGATGACGTCTGGCGCTGGACACGATAGCGTCTACGCAAGTAAACGCTGCCCAACGAGCATGATCTTTGTGCCATGCAGGGAAGGTGTGAGCCACAACCCAAGGGAATTTTGTAAAGAGGAAGACTGTGCGTTAGGCGCGCAAGTTTTGCTGCAGAGTGTGATAAGGTTTGACAGGATGAGAGACGAGAGAAGGGTTTCATGGAAGCAGGAGCCATACACTTTATAAGAATAGTCAAAGCGGAAACGCGCGTAGACATATTCAACTTATCTTCGATACTTTCGAAGCCTGTTTATCTTAACATCTGAGACTAATAGTGCCTTCCTGTTGAACTATCGTTCGATAGGAGTATGTGATGGTTAAAAGGAACGACTTGCGAAAATGGAAGAGGCTGGGACGAGTTAGCGTCGTATGTGACGTAGCACCATTACACGATGCCTCATTCCCTCGCACGGTGCCTTACCACATGCGATGACGGTCATAGTACACGGTTCTCTCACAGGCGAAAGGCCATTGGCAGCATCATTTCATCTACATTCCTTGATTCTTGATCCACGCATGCTACTTTCCGACTGCACTGTGCCAGATGGGTGTGCTTCAGAGCGCGTTACAGCCTGCAGTGCAGCTCAGCCACGCTTGTTCCTGATGGGCGCGTTCAGCCCGTCGGCCTCAACCCCAACGTCTGCCTTTCCAATGATCCACTCGCGTCATTATCTATCCAATATCGCTCTCCAGTATCAGTGCCAGCCTTGTGTCATACGGCGTTTCAGGGACGGACTGCACGCTCCTCGCGCTCAATCTGAATATCCATGAATCCCACTCGCAGGTCAAGTTTCATTACGAATCTCGCGTTACTCATATTACTCTAGTCTGTTGGGCAGATATCTGTTGCGACAAGTTTTTCAGATCGCGCCGTACCACCGCTTTCACCTCCGACAAGCTTACAGGATATACCCCACGCTTGACCCTATGTCCCACAGGCCGCCGGCACATACGATACCCAAAGATACGAGGTACGGTTATTGGTGGCGCTCGGCCAGACCGATGTGTCACAATCATGTAGACTTGTGCAGGAAGGCTGAGGCATTGCCTTCTCAGCTTGGGGAACAAGGGTAGCCGAGGACAGGTACAGCACCCGTGGATCATCGACGCATCTCTCGCTGGCATCTACAACACCATAGGAAGTTGTACCATATTATTTATACATAGATCGCAATGCAACTGTGTCTCTATCTCTGCACCCTACGGATTGCATCACTGGTCGTTGCGAAATATATTCCCGATCTGCAGGTACAGAGCACAAGAGTGCAGGCAACAATATCAGCGAGTGTTATTACACCAGCACCTCTAGTACACGGCGATGTCTTCAAAAGGTCTATCGCGACATGCGGCTTCGTTCGCGGCAACTCAGGTACATCGTGCTTCACCTTCTGGAAGTAGTTCACATCTGATCCGAAATAGCACTACCTATCACATGTGCAGAGGACTATGCCTGCATCACTACACAGAACTTACAACTCGGCTTTGCATGCTGCAACAATGTCGAGTGTCTCGATGATTGGGCTACATGCCGGCCGTATGGTCAGACCGACTGTATGGGTGTAGCCCTACCAGAGGATACCTGCTCTTCCATATACGGCTCGATCCTTCAATGGTATGTCTCCCAAATCTTTCGCGAAACGACGATTGCTGATCGCAGAATACAGCTCACAGCAAGCACAGCAGTGCTTCCGTTATGCTCGCAGCTCTGTACTCGGAGCAAAGGAAACATTCTATTCGTGGGCATGCGGAACAGCTTCAGATGACATCCTCGTGCTTGCGACTGTTACAGATGGAACTTTTCAAACACTAGACTCTGACACCACGGGAGTTGATGACCTTTTTCATTCAATCACTAGCGGTTCCGGGGCAACTGCTGCACCCAACGGCCCTTCGGTCGCTGTCGCCAACAGTAGTCCACTTAGTACGACAGCGATTGCTCTCATATCAGTGGCCGCTGCCGTTTTTCTCATCATTGCTCTGCTGATCGGATACTGCTGTTGCTGGAAAAGGTTTATCAAGCAGCACCAGCGGGACAAAGAAATCGTTCAACAAACCAGGCCTCAACAGATGCCATACCAGCCAACTGTTACAAGTGGCCCCCGTTCTGAGTACATACCCTCTTGGAGTAGCAGAACACCTCTCGGAGCGAATCCGGACGCGCCGCCATCTGTTGCTGCTAGTGATTATTCTGGTGTCACTGCAAGTGACATGGCGAGGCCAATGGCGACACTGCACGAACAGCACAGCGGCTATGGGTACAGGTCTTATTGATGTATAGCCGTGGAATAAGCTCTGACAGCATGCTCGACATTTTATGATTCTAGCACGATAGAATTGAATGCTGAATCAGCGTTGATAGATGGATGGCGACCTACTTTGTATCCTATTTTACTCTGCCCAACTTCGACGCTTATAGACACGTTGAATAAGATTGGAAAAGACGATAGTGAAGAGTGTATACACTTCCTTCAGAGTGCTGCTTCCCATATCTTTCTGGTAGCCTCCAGTTTGCGTACTTTGTCGCTCCTGAACATCAGCTTCCAGTTACTGCTTTTAAACACTTTCAGAAGATCGCAATCCTCTCCACCGATTCCTCCTCGCGATAGCCCAACTTCATTTACAAAGTTCCAATCACGACCACAGCGAGCGTCACATTGGCATGGAACCCACTTCGCAAACCGCTTGAGCATTTCGCGTCGATTAGGGTCTATAGTTGTCATCTTGGCTACGTCAAGACTCGACTCGATGTGGAGCATGTATAATGCTGCCATCACGAACGGCTTACGATGGATACTGTTGCGCACGTCTTGCTTGTCACGGAGAAGACGCGTCCATGTCTCGAAGACGTGGTTGGGCGATGGTTTCTGATCAGAATCAAATTGTTCGAAGAATGCGTTGACTTGAGAGCTGTTAGATCTTGCAGGGATCTGCTGCAAGGTTGATGATACATACAAGTGACTTTTCTATCTTTGGGCCCGCACCTGTCGTATATATTTTCGTATACGTAGTATGAGTCGAGCGTTAGATGCTGCCAGTACGACGGCGCATACTCTTTGATGTATTTAGGTCCCTTGTGCAACGAATAGAAGAGTTTGGTTGTTGGAGACTTGACGTGAGCTGGATGTATCGCTGGTGAGCTAACTTGTTCTATCACATCCCAGTAGTCAGCATTTATCTATATACTATGTAACGCAGCCCATGTAAGAGACCGTTAGGTGAAATCTATCATTTCAATTGATTCAGCGAGGGTCGACGCACTTTTCTCAAATCCGGCCACAGCCACCCAGCGCTCTACCATCTCCAAGGTATGTGCGTCATTGCCATACGTATCAGTTCGCGATGCAATAATACCTTTCTTGCTCGACTCGTCAATCGCCACTTCAGAAAGGTCGGGAGGATTAAACCTGAAGTATCCACCCCGGTTGGCCAGTTTTCTGTGGGTCAGGTGGAACGTATTCGCTGTGTCCTGGGTTTCAGTCGCAATAGAAGCAATGCTCTTTGCAACTTCGGTAACCTTCTCACCGAATCCATGCAATGCTGGCCTGCCGGTACCAATAGACACTAATACCCGAATCTGCTTGTCAAACTCTTCTTCAGATTTGTCGAATTGCGACATTGCTTCCAGATACAATTCATTGATAGGATTGTTGGATCCGATACCTGCGTCAAGAAAGCGCCTGGGCTCACCGGCATGTGTGATTTCCATCGGTGCGAAGAAAGATGTTGCCGCCGATGTAGCACGAGCTACTTCCCAGATCTTGACTTCATTATAGAAGTTAGAGTGCTCGCCAGGTCTCTCGTAATCTGTAAAGCGTGTCGGAGCTCTGCCTTCTGCCGTCAAAGCAATAACGACCCTTGTCGAGTTAGTGCCCAGTCCTCAAATGCGAGGGATCGATAGCATACGTTTTACAACTCGAGTCCTTCGATCCTCTGAATCTGTCATCCGATGTCCACCCAGCGTTGGACATCTACAGATGTGGAGATGCGAAGTCAGTGTATGTCTCACATGCATTTCGTACAGTCATAACTTACCACCTGCTTGATCGCCTGCTCCATGTACTTTGTCTTGTACTGAGGCTGAACCTTGCCATTACGAATCTTGAATGGCAGCTTTTTCTTGTCTTTGGGGTCAAATATAACGTCCATCATACCGGTATATGCCTCAATACACTGGTCAACGGACATTTCCAGTCGGCCGAGCATGATAGCAATCAAACCCCCAGTGCTCGTCCCACAGATCATGTCGAAATAGTCGCAAGGCTTCGGACTGCCAACCAAGGACAATATCTTCCGCAACATATAAAGTGAAGCCAAACCGCGTACGCCTCCTCCATCGAGGCTGAGGAGTCGAAGATCTCCTGCCATAGGCACCGGTCGCTCAGGGAAATTTCGTGAGATTAGGAGCGTGCAGATTGCGTGTGTTAGAAGTGGAATCTGAAAGTGTCAAAAGACGAAGGCAAGGCTCAACCCGCATGTGTTAGTGACCTGGCGTGGACTTTCGCGATACGTTGCTGAAATGTACAAATTGCAATTCAGCACGGTTAGCAGCCTTCTGCCTGTTCTGCCAATGTGCAGTTTAGCTCGAGACTGGTCTTTGAACACGGCGTTAGCCCTATACCCCCACGATGCGACGGCTTGCAGATATCAGGCTACTATACGCTCGTGATACCTTGCATCTTTGCCCGAGCGTACGACCTGGAGTGATTAACCACGCACTCATTTCGTACAAGGTTAAGCGGCAAATGCAAGAGACCCAACGCAAAGGACGATACGGTGGCTTTGCTTGGCAGCTGAACAATTAGAAATTGAATGGCCTAATATGGCAGCCTTGGGCACAGGCATCTAGAGATGTGTGTAAGTGGTCGAAAGCGCGAAACGGATCGAGACGCTATTCCAGGGTATTGTCTGGTTTCGAGGCGGTTGACCCCTCATTAAGCTTTTCCAACAGCCTCGCTCGTACCTTATCTCCCAACTCCCCCACGGATTCAACCAAGTCGACACCATATCTCTCGCAGACAATCTGTATGTTACCTCTCTTCCAGAAGCCCTCTGGACAGCAAACAATAGCCTTGCCTGTTCCCGCATAAAGCCCCAATTCTAGCAGCGTGATGGGCTGTAAGGCCTTAGCGTCACCTGCGAAATAGAAAACAATGACATCGGCTACGCGCGCGTAGTCCATTTCCCATTCAACTTGCTCTTTGAAGGGCGCGAAAGAGATGTCTTCAACCCAACTACTATCCCAATCATCTCGGCGTGGATTCAGGATAGCGATGGGGAGGTCAGAGAGTGAGGCTGCAAGATGGGTCTGCCAGTCTTTACTGGGATCGGGCTGTATGGCTCCGTAGAGGATCACAGATGGCCTGTCAACGGATGGTCGCATGGGAGGTTTATGAACGACAGCTTTGGATAGGCAAGATTGAGACATGCTTGATGGAAAGGAGATGATCGTGAGGAGGCGGGTGCGCACGTTGGCGCCCCACTACAAGCCCCGACTGTCCGGGTGAGCTACGATACTATGATTATATAAGCCACCGGACGATCTAACTCTAAACACAAAGCAGCTAGTCACAGGTACCAGCCCTACCACATTCAACATCTGTCTGCTCTGTGGTTGAACTCGATCCTTAACTGCATTTCGAAATATTCCTAGAAGTCTCATACACTGTCATAAGCAAGCGATCATAACGAGAACCGAATTTCCAGCATAGAGCTGTCCCGAAGCCTACAGATTTGTAGGATTGTGTTGCCCCCCTGCCCAGACCTGACGTGTGTACGGATTCGCGGGGTCGCCTCCTGCGCCGCCGTCATAAGTAACCTGGACGGTCCGCTCATACAAGATAGCTTCCTCGCTATCATTGTCTCCCTTCATCTCGACGTTTCCGATCGGTACCTTGCGTTCTCGGTCGCGAAAGCCTGCTTTGTTTGGGACGCTGGCGAGGGGAATCTCGTCATCGCCGTCCCCTTGCGTTGTGCCGTCTACTGTACGCATCAAAGTATCGTACTTGCGCTTCGGGCCTGTGTTTTCACTTCCCCAAGTCCGCAATCCGTGATTGCGATCAGACGAGTCTTTGTTTTCAGATGAGCGACTTTCGCCAATAAGTCGCGGTGCGACGTGCTTGAGGAAGCGCCGCAGGGTCGGTAAGCAACAGCATATGACGAACAAGTTACTTTCGATGATGCTGTGTTTTGATCAGTTGAAACAATTCTAGGTATCTGGAGACACCACGATAACGGAAGCCTTACATCCACAAAGAGCCTACGGCTATGATCCAGGTTTGGTCCATATCTGTTAGAGCTGGGATCAAAACAATGAGGCGAATAATAGACGTGACCATTGTGCTGCCTCAAGTCAGCAGCCATTCAGAGCACGACTTGCACCCCGGTTAACACTTACATTGATCCGACGCCGAACATAAGAGTTAGTCCAATTTTCTGTTTCGTCGGCATTTGCAGGCCCCAGATAGTCGGAACGGGAATCGAGATCAGCATCACATCCGTTACGATCCCAATCACAGCCGTAGCGATATAAATCGCTCCTTGGTTGACGCATGCCGCAGTTGGGCGCAACAATGGGTCCCAACTGGCAGCAATGGGCTTGCATGCGAATAGCAGACTGAAGAAGATCGCGATGTATGAACTGGCGCAGATAACGACGGTTGTCCAAACAGCCCATTGGAAGGCTACGGATGGAGAGAGGCGACTGTAAAAGATACAGAGCGTGATCTTCGTCAAGGCGCAGCAAGCTGCATAAACCAGTGGGGCGGCGAGAATGAGCTACGAAGTCGTTGCATTAGCATACGAACAAAAAACGCAAGTAATTAAAAAAAAGGATATCAGCTTACCCGTGAATAGAAGGCGTACTTCTCAATTGGAATCTCCCAGGCGTGTACGCCCATGCTGCCAGTGGAGAAACCAGTGATCAAAATACCCTGGGTTCCCACCGAGCAGGCCCAACCGAGAATAACGAAGGCTAACTTTTGTCAGTAGATTTTCTAGGCTGATGTTACCAAACACAGTACCGTCGTCAATCTGGAACTGCTTCATGAGACGAACTTTGGTATAAAGCCGCTGCCCAAGGAACATAAGCGCTAGGATGTTCTCGACTGTGAAGATGACATAGGCCTCTGTGAGCAGCCTTCTCTGCGGGTTCGCAAAGTTGACCTCATAGCCATCAGGTGGAGGAATGGCGGTTATAACGCCGTTGACATTCGACATGACGCAGTAAAGTCTGGACAAAGAATGTGTTGTTGATTTAACCACAACGTCGCTCGGGAGCGGAAGCTAAAGGTCTCTCCTACGAGGGAGAGCTTGTATACCTAGGACCTTTGAAACCTACTCCTATGACTAAAGGAGGGACGTGGTTCAGTCTAAAGACTGCCTAGAGGCTCGAGAGCGAGGTTTGCGCTAGGTTCCCAAACCAGGGGCGGGAGAGGGAAGTGGGCGTGGGGGATGTCGACGTCGATCGCACATAATTGCTTGCCTGGATACGAAGGCCCTGTCTCGGAAAAGTTGACTTCGTCGCGCAAATCCTGACTTCGTCACGGGCTTGGAATTACACTAAATACAACACTAAGCGGCGATTCGGAGTTTTTACTTACACAGGTATGTTCACGATAAGTCAGGTACTTTCATGTGATTACCACGATCAAATCTTTCTACTCATCCAATCAATGACCTACTGACTTCAAACCAATCGAGACTGTATAGCAGGCCAAAACAACGCACACTACGAAAGGATTCTCTGTTCACTTGGCTCATTTCCCCATGTAGTCGGAAGATATCACCACCGGCTTAGGCGTTCGATATGCGAGCAGCTCCCCTCTTGATCAACGTTCCTGGGGAAAGGTGATTGGCTGCGATGCGAGCAAAAAGTCGATGCTGACGCGTGCGATGAGTCGTGATCTGAGGAACCAAAACCTCGGCGGGTAAGGCCGACGGCACTAACTGTTCCCGTAACTGTGGGCTTAGTTTTCGGGCCGCTCGCGGCGCCGGCCAGGGGCCTGATAGGTTCTATTTGACCGCCTCGTTCTTGAGCATTATATTTGCCTATCATATCGATGAAAATATATGGGTCGACGTCTCGTACTTCAGGGACCAGGAACAGCACATACCTCCAATAGGTTGTTGCAGACGGCACGTGTTGGGACGGCAGACGGATATTTACCGTTTTGCTATACCAGTTAAGATCAGCATAAGAGCCGCATAAGAATGTCACTGATCAGGTTTAAATGCCAAGTTAGAGCAGTTTCTTGTGCGGGTACTGTTAGCCGCTGATTGTCTGGTCAATCTGCAGCTATGGCGACAATAAAATCCCTTAGACCCAGCGCATCGGTTCGACATCCACGTTTTCGAGTGTGCCAAGTTCTCAAGTTGAAACAGCATGAAGCTCCTCGCACCGACCGTCGTTGCATCTCTGGGTTTATGCGCCGAAGCTACCCAATTCGGCACCATCAGGGACGTGGTTCTTGGCAGCAAGAACGAGACTTGCGTACGTTATGTACTCCCTGGTCAAAGTTCATGCAATACTGACCAATTTTAGTGTTCTTCGCTGAAGGATGCTGGACTAGCAAACATCTTTTACGAGGATGATGAGCAGTACAAGAATCGGACGGCGTCGTACTGGTCCGTGAGCGCTCAGCTGCATCCCAAGTGTATTGTTCAACCAGTATCTACTGAAGAAGTATCTACTGCCATCAAAACACTGGGTGCGCAAAGCAACTGCAAATTTGCCGTGCGAAGTGGTGGTCATGCAACCTGGGCTGGCTCCAACAACATCAACGATGGAGTAACACTCGACCTCGGTCTCATGAACACAACCGTCTATGATGCGGAAGCAAACCTCGCACGGTTCCAACCCGGAACCCGATGGGGTGGTGTGTACGGAGCACTTGAGCCTCATGGGGTCACTGTCGCGGGTGGCCGAGCAAGCAGCGTCGGTGTAGCCGGTTTCTTGACAGGAGGAGGAAACTCTTTCTACACTGCTCGTCGAGGTTTCGCCTGTGACCAAGTGCAGAATTACGAGGTCGTTCTTGCCGATGGGTAAGTATCCAAAAAGCTGGGCGGCGAAGATTTGAGATCTGTTACTAACATGCAGTAGCGAAATCGTCAACGCAAACGCCACATGTAACAGTGACCTGTTCCGAGCCCTCAAAGGTGGTTCGTTCAACTTTGGCGTCGTTACTCGTTATGATATGGAGACTTTCACCGCGGGAGATCTTTGGGGTGGCTCGAGAATCCATACCAAAAACTATACACAGCAACACATCGATGCCTACACAGCATGGGTCGACAACGTCGAGAACTACCCCGACGGCTCCAGTATCGTCTTTTGGAGCTATCTTCCCACCATGGAGGATATTGTCATCATCGCTGCGTACGAAGACGTCGCGGGCAATGTTGCTCCTGCAGGCTTCGACAAATTTATGGCTATCCCAGCCATAGCCGACACCACGAGATTGGCGAGCCACAAGAACCTCACTGATGAGCTTGAGCAACCCACTGGATACCGGTATGTTCCATCTGCAATTGGAGAGAGGGGGTGACTACGATATATGAAACTGACAACTATTAGTGACATCTGGTTCACGATGACCTTCAAAAACGACCCTACCGTGTTTAAATACATTGTTGATGCACACACCAAGTTTGTCGATGCATGGAAGGCGGATAACACAGACCACGACTTTATCACCCAATGCATGTTCCAAGCTATTCCAACCATTTTTGCCAAGCACAGTGCGGAACGTGGGGGCAACGTCTTGGGTCTGGATCTCGTCAAGGACAACGCCATCATGCTCCTTTTCGATATTGCTGTCAAGGGTGAAGAGACCGAGGTTCGCGCGAGGGAAGCACTTAGGGCTGCTACCGAAGATATGCAAAGGTTCGCTGCCAGCCAAGACGCTCTAGTAGACTGGCAGTACCTGAACTACGCCGATGCTTACCAGGACCCACTTGGTAGCTACGGCGCTGCAAATGTTGCTAAGATCCTGGCTGCTGCTAAGAAGTATGACCCCAATGGCATGTTCCAGACTCAAGCTCCTGGTGGCTTCAAGATCTCCAGAGTTAAGAACTCCACTTCTTCCAAGCAGGAACTATAAGCCTTAGATCTGAGCGCTCGTTGGTAGCAGTGGAAGCGATGGACCATTTACAGCAATGAAATAAGAAATGAAATCTTCAACGCACTCTTTGTCCATCCTATTGTAAAGATGATGCATTTATCCTACTCCGCTTCGATTGCATAGTGACCATTACGCTCTTCGTTGTGCACATTCACCATATGAATAGCCACACCTTAGACCTCTGCTACCCTGCTCTGCTGTTTTATTACAATCTCGTCTCTTAGCGCCTTTGCTCTCTCAAAACATTCCAATGCCCTCTCCTCTTCCCTTGCCACAAGAATCTTTCTCGCAATAGCTGGCACACAATATCTCACTAATATCTTCGCAGTGGCCCTCTTCTTCTCATCTTTCTCAAACATCCACTGATACCAACGATCGAGCCGTTTGCTATAAGGTTTATGCTCCCATGGGCGGTTCGGATAGAATTCTTCAATAACTATAGAATCATGGACGTCGAAGTCATTAATCAGTTCCTCTTTTGTGGCTGAGAGGGGCCGGAAGGTGGTCGGTATGAGATGACGCCAGTGGCTTTTTTTCCAGGCATTTTTGTCGATGAGATGAGGGACAAACTTCTCCTGACTTCTTCTGCTATCGGAGAAAGCTTCGTGGGATTGAATGGGGTAGACACCCAGAGCGAGGATTTGCAAGGTGCCGCCTAGAGCCCAGATGTCGCCGGACGGTCGTAAAGCCCCTCGTTCGTTGAAGGGTGGTGCATATTCGGGTGTACCACAAAAGCGGGTCAACTGTGCGCTTTCGGTTGGATGCTCTCGCGTCATACGGGCAAAGTCGGTCAGCCTGAAGATAGGCTCATCGGGGATTCCGTCTTCCATCTTCCAGCTCTTGGGTATTTCAACTAGGATGTTGTCTGGCTTGATATCATTGTGCGTATAGCCGTAGTTCTCGCACTTGTTATGCAGATAATCCAAAGCGAGAACCATATCATGTAAACATTTCCATATCGTGACTTCGGATATACGTTGTATGGTTTTTCGCTGCCTTCTCTGTTCAGATTTCCACTTGACCACGTAACTGGTAAGATCACCCAACTCGCAGAACGGAAGGAAGATTGCCATAGGAGTAGAGGACCACGCCAACATCCCTGCAATGTGTTCGTGTTGTTGAACAATTGAAAGATTCTTAATTTCGACCTCGAGGCGTTTGGTTGCCTTGATCCTGTCAGACTCAGAAGTGAACGAATGTGGCGTCTTCACCGCGACGAGTGCTTTGGAAGATTTGTGTTCGTATGCGTGTACTATGCCATCCCCACCGTCTCCCAGATAGTATCTTTGGGTAAAAAGCTGACTGAACCTTCTGTAAACACGTAAATCGTTAGTATCAAACGGTTGTTCCATCCTCATCACGTCGCGATTGCTGAGACCTTGGAGGAAAGACTGGCTCGTATGCTTGAGTGAGTTGGGATTGAGGTTGGGCGGGTAGACTTTATGAGACTCAAGACATAGCACTGTGTGACAATACGGTTCGAATATACTACTAGAGATGAGCCACCACGGTTTTCGTGGTTGAAGTAGTCGTTACCATGGTACCTGCCAGTATTGGTTTGGTAGAGAGGACCAAAGCCTGACATTGGGCCAGTAAGAAGCCCAAGAGTCTTGTAAATGAGTATGTACTCACCGAAGGCTGTGGGAGCAGTCCCGTACGTCGTTGTTATGCTTGCGTTCACACTTAAATGTAGTCGACATAGACCAAAGCTGACCTCACCGATGAAACTTCCCCGTCCATACATATCCAGAGTATTCTGTGATGACTTTCAGCGCGATTTTACCCATTAAATGTGAGAAACTCAAGGCACACGATAAACGACTTGATGTGTGCAATACCTTCGAATGAACACGACGTGCTGATATTGGTAAGCAAAGCCGGATATCTCAAGACATACTAGCTGATTTGTGCAATTATGGCGATACCGTGCATTTGATACAGAACTTTCATTATACTCTTATTCTTCTTCTTTCCTTCTGGCCCGCTGTCTACGCACCATCTTTCTTCCTCTGCCCCACAAAAAACCCTAGTCCAAAATCATCCGTCTTGAACGTGATTTTGCTCCCTTTTGGGAAGAAGAACACATCACCCTTCTCGGCTTTGACTTCTTTGCCCGTTTCGTCACTGATGTAGAAGTGCCCATCAACGATGATTTTTATCTCATCATACGTATACGTGTACACGAGCGGCGTTCCCTTCTCCAGACGGTAGAAACCACCGCTGATGGGTTTCTCTGGATCTGTAGACTCTCTGGTAGAGAACAGTCAGTGGTGGTGGTGGGTTAATAGAATATAGGTAGGGCAAGCATACGATGATACGACGTCACCGAGGTAGGCGTTTTCGTTGGCGATTAGCGGCGGCTTGAACGTTGTTTGCGCCTTCTCGAAGTACTGCATCGCTGGCATGGTGGCGGCTGGTATAGCAGTACCCTGTGATATATGAAGCAAGGGTGTGGCTGTCCGTTGTTAGTGAAAAGTTACAAAGTCCAAGTTCGGTGAGCTTGACGCACAGTGGCACGAAGTAAGATATGCTGCTTTTGATCCTATAATTCGTATTGTGTTGTGTAAGATCCTGAAGATGACTGGAGCTATGCAGTGTCCTAAAGGTCGCCGTACGTGGAACTTACAAGAGCATGGCCAGCTTTATGTACGCCAATCTTACTTATCGTGACCCAATAATCAAGACTAACGGCATCATCATTTACCAACTGCGCCCTGTCAAACGGAGTTTCCCTTCTTCCGATATCCAGTTAACCGCTATATTAGCATAGAGCAGCGTAGTATCTGGGACTTTAATACTAGATGCGGCGCTTGGCTTGCACCAAAACCTAGCTGATCTGGCTAGGTTTTAGTTAAGCTTTGCCACGATATCCACTGCTTTACGTCTATTAGTGCGCCCTGCGAGGGATGAGCAAGACGGCTCCAAGGTGTTGGAAGTGTACGCGGATAGTGGGGTGATGTAGGTGGGGCAACAAGACGCAATGTGCGATTGGCTATTATCTTATCGTCAGGAAAGGATTACTCCATCTGGGATCCTGCATATGTGGGTTAAGGCTCAAACGAGGCTTCCGAGTATGACCGGGTTAGCTTTCGTAAAGTGGACGTTCTTCTTTCCTATGAGGGGTAGTCATATTGCGCAGTAATCATTGGTATTGCGTGTCTGAAATGCTGATAATACATTCTGGGTATATTCAAATTGCTGGAAGTTGTAATAATATCATATAGGTCGTTCTTCTTCATGGTCTTCATCTTCTCTCCACTTCTTGCGCCACCACTTCAGCTTGAACCAGTCTCCTAAAGCATCTTGGCTCTTGCTCCTCTGGCCGTATCCCCAAGTCTGTCTTCTCCGGGATGTATCTTCCATGTCTGCGTCAGATGTATCGCCGTCGTCTGGATCGGGATGATCAAGAAGTGATGCAGAGCTATTCATGGGCTGTTTTCCCTGCGACACACTTCTGCCTCGCCCGCTACCGAACCCTTCGAACCAAGACCGCCGACGCATCTGATTGAGCCATGCCGACTGTGCATTGTTTCTCCGTGGCGGTAGGGTTCCTGACCTTGGTCGTCGCTCTAGATCCACAGATCGTCTGGCAGGAGATGGCAGAGTCTCTCTGTCGTTGAGTTCATCCCAGATCTCGTTTGTCTCTTCTGAAATAGTCATCCGCCGTCTTCTTTGGGGTCTGCGGGAATGTGTTTGAGGACTCTTCGGTTCACCAGCGTCTACTGATGCTCGCTTCTTCGGGTTGGCGAGGGTAAGAGCGGGACCGGTTGGGGCGCGAGCTAACAGTGGTGTTCTTTCATCGACAGCTTTCCGTTTGGCTTGTTCGGAGGCATAGCCATGAGCGCCGGGGGCTTCTTCGTCGATATCCAGAGGTGATGCAGGGTCGTCAAGAGGGTGGCCATGCGCAAGACCAATGCCGGGTTGTAGCACTGTCTGGGGCATCTGAACTCTGCCCGTATGCTTGCTTGCGATTGGTGATGTGGGTTCTTCCTCGTTATCTTCGAGACGCCAGCTCAGGCAGACAACTCCAGCGAGCAGTATTATAGTTCCGAGCGCAATCAGGCCGGCGTGCAGACTCGACAAGCGATCGCTTTGGTCGAAGTAGATCAGGCCATCTATGATTGCGATGATGTTGTAGACGCAGAATACTAGAGGATAAAGCACACTCGTACTGACCAACTTCAGTCCGCGATGCATGTAGTAGAGTTGGGTCAGGGCGAAGACGACTAGTCCGACCAGAATCATCCACGACTGCCAACGGTCAAACTGGTTGTGACGGTCAATGATAGTCCGGACTAGAAGTTCGACAGCACTCTTCGCGATGAGGAGCGAATGCGCGGAGAGGATGCCACTGACGCAGCCAAAGAACATTCCACGGATAAGGCGTAATCGAGGGGTGGTCCGTGGATGCATGCGCTTCAGTAGCCACGTCGCAAGGACCAGCATGACGACTACCACACCCGTCAAGATCATCCATGTGAGGAAAGCTTTCCGTCCCAACAGCCTCAACAGTTGGTCGAGATTATGCGACGGTTCAGCAATGGCACCAAACAAGGCTATCAGCAGTGCGCCTATGGCAACAAGCATGGTGCCAACAAAGGAGTATCGCGTAAACGGTTCGCTGAGAATGATGGAGGCGCATATCGAGTTGAAGACGAGGCCGGATGCCTGTAGGGTGGAGAGAACGGGAAGGGGTAGGGTGGTGATTTGGATGGTGCTGCCGACGATGTTTGCCACGACGAACATGAGCATGCCCAGCTGCATAGATTAGTGAGTGAATCCCATGTCATCTGGCAGTGTTCGTACCTGCCATCTTCGCCGCTTGTATGGAGGTCGCCTGTCGTCGTCGTCGTCCTTTTCCTCTTCTAGGAGATGGGACTTGCGTTGCAGCGTCAAGCCGATGCTCTGAATGCTGGTGGAGGCGAGTCCGACCATTACCCCAAGCTGCATGCCCACGCGTTAGCACTCTATACCCATGGCGGCATGGCTCCATGTATACTGACAGCAACGCTCGCGCCCGGCGAGAGTTCCACCATGTTTCCTTGTCGGTTGTCGTCGCTGCACTGCGCCTATCGCTACCTAGACGTCGGGCGCATGCTGTGTGTGGGGTGTGTGTGTAAAGTCGGGAACGTGTATTCTTCTGTCTTGGACAGCGCAGGCGTGGGAGTCGCGAAACGTCACGCTGAGTCGGTGAAGTGCACGAGACGGTTGGGGAAGACTAGCCGACGCCGTGCATGTGGCAGGGATCAGCCGACTGATGATGTAGTTGGGTCGACGAGGACAGCGCGGGTGCAGCAACGAGAAGATGTCGCGTCGGTAGAGAGACGATATGGCAGAGACGTATAATTGCAGTGATACTCTTGAGACTGTTCCCGCGTCTATCTGCGACGTCGTGCCATGCATCGCTCGAGGGCGTACCTGGGTAACCGCGGGCAGCATCTGGGGCCCAAGCTTGAACATCAACCTCCAAGCTCCGTCACTCGCGATACCCTCGACGCCAGCACCCATATATCTCCTCCCCCGTAAACCAGAGGATCTCCACACAATACCGCCATCATGTCGCAAGTACACGCCCTCTCCGACGACCAGGTACGAATCTCCGCCAGCTTCAGCCAGCTGCAAGCTCCCCACTCACTACGTCAACACCACAGCTAACACTGACCCCGATGGCAGGTCGCCGGCGAGCTGAAGAAGATGACGGCCTTTATTCGCCAAGAAGCCATGGAAAAGGCAAACGAAATCCGCCTCAAGGCCGACGAGGAGTTCGCCATCGAGAAGTCCAAGCTAGTGCGCCAGGAACAGGCCTCGATCGACTCGTCGTATGAGAAGAAGTTCAAACAGGCCAGCATGTCGCAGCAAATCACCCGCTCCACCGTCTCCAACAAGAGCCGATTACGCATTCTGTCTGCCCGCCAGGAGCTGCTCAACAAGCTGTTCGAGCAAGCCGAGAAGAAGCTGGGCGACGTTTCAAAGGACAAGAAGAAGTACCAGAGCATCATGAAGGACCTGATCGTCGAGGGTGCCTATGCGCTCAACGAGGACAAGCTGCAGGTCAAGGTGCGCAAGGCCGACTACGACCTCACTAAGAAGGCCATCGAGGAGGCGCAGACCGAGTACAAGAAGAACATTGGCAAGGACGTCTCCATCACCATCGATGAGAGCGACCCACTGCCTGAGGGATCGTAAGTTTGGTTGCCGCGGAATCTTCGACACATGGCTAACTCTAAACAGTGCTGGTGGCGCTATGATTGTTGGAACCAACGGCCGAATCGACATCAACAACACTTTCCAAGAACGATTGAAGCTACTCGAGTCCCAGGCCCTGCCATCCATCAGGGTCACACTTTTCGGAGAGAACGAGAACAGGAAGTTCCACGACTAAGAAGCTAGCGTGGGCGTCGGTTACTATGAGCTGGCTTGTGATCAGACTGGAGCATTTGGCCGTCACGGAGCACAAGCAGGAAGGAGTCTGCGTCGGACTGGGAGAATGGGCTTTTGCTGAGTAGACTGTACATGCACGAGGTCTTGTAGACTACTCGGAACTTTTAGCGAGCTTTATTACATGCACATTACCACATCGATCACTATCCCAGCAAGCAAGTTTCATTCCTGACATTATGGTGATATGAATTTCTCGCCTGGGCTAACTGCTGAGGCTCCTATGTATACTGCGAAGGAGGGTATACAAGAACAAAATCAAGAACATGCGTACAAAGACGCTGTGTATCGTCGCTTCAAGGAGTGGATATCATCAACACTCATACTCCTTAAAAACAAAACGCCAGTGCCAGATCATAGCATGCAAAAATGTGCATATGTACAACAAAGGAAATCGTTCGTTACCATGCATCATACACGTTCATAAACACGATCCCACATGGGACTTCTCGTCCTCTTCTGACCACCGCCGCCCATGACGTTTCTCAATGGCCATTCTGTCTTGCTGCTCTTTCTCATCGGCGGATTGGGGTCTGGGTACCGATCTAAAGTCCTGTGTCCGCCATACAGCTCGTCATCCTGGTCGTTGTACCCATCGTTCGAATACTCAGGGCCGTAATCCTCAAGATAGGAATATCCGCCTGCAAAGGGGTTCGAAGACGTTTTCTGGTGCGTAATGGGAGAAATGGGCGCGGAATCGTCTGAGTGGTATACGTGCCCAGAGTTGGAAGACATACTGGAGACGGCAAGACCGGAGGAACTGCTACCACTATGATCGGCGGTGTTTTGTGCCAGAGAGGGTCGGAGGAGGCCTCGGGATGCTTCCGCTGCAGGGCTACTGATCGGACTTGTGGGTACAGGCTTTCGCTTTATGCTCGCTACGGCGGGAACAGGTAGCGTGTCCAAGGCAGACATACCGGGTCTTCGAGGACCTGTCTTGGGGGGTGAGTTGTGACGCCCTAAGATAGGGGACTCTCCGTTCATTTCGTCGTCAGGTTCTGTAACTTCGGCCACAGAGTGAAGACTAGTGTAGCTTGTTCGTCGGCCACGGGCTCGGTTTGACGAGTGGCTATGGTAGAGCGCGGGCGCTAGAATGGGCGTGTGGTTGTCTTGCATCGTCATTGGTGTTGATTCTGCTGGCATAGAATACCCTTGGTTAGGGTGAGACACGCCTGCAGCCGGTGGTATCGTATGGCCCTGGTAGGCTGTAGACATAGGGGCCGGGTCATAGCCATCATCTTCCCAGTTCATGTCTTCCACAAACCGGCTTTTCTGTTGTGCTGCGGGGTTCAAGGGTCGCCTGTGTTCGAAATTCTCGACGCTTAGGCCTCGGTCCTGGAATGAGAAACGAGGAATGAAGCCGGGTGATGAGGGGGGTTGACTGCCTTCAATGGATCTTCTTCTCCTTCTGCGCAGGATAAAGCAGCATCCAAACAATATTGCGGCAATCGCAAGTACGGCTAGTGGCACACCTACACCCAGCCCGATTTTCTCGCGTCTTGTCAGGCCAGAATCGCTGGATGCGGGCGCTATAGGATCTGTGGTCGAGCTTGGAGTCGCAGAGGAACTCGATGGCGATGATGAAGTTGAAAAGATAGTTGAAGACGCAGAAGAAGATTCCGAGGATGACGCCAGACTGGATATATCGCTCGAGAGACTAGTCGAAGATGGCGTAGGCGTAGGTGTTGTACTCAAGCCTTCGGATCCTGATGTCGTAGAAGATTCCACCGCACTAGTGGACAGTGTTTCTAGTACTGACGAATCTATATTCGAGGCTGCCCCTGTTGGTACCTCCGTTGCGGATGCGGTAACATCAGTGGGCAATGCTTCACTCGCAGGTGGCGCTGCCGTCGCTGGTCCGAATTCTTGTATGAAGTAAGACTGTATATCATATGGAAGCTCGTTGAACCAGTCTGGCCGGTTGTCGTCCAAGAATTCCTCCCATAATATGCTCGAAACTGCGGGTATGTTCGTCGCAGCGATTTGCCGTAGCGAAAGTGGTAGTGCAGTAATAAGCACTTGTAATATTTCGATGCTGATCTGATGTTAGCGCGGTTGCACTTTTAGCTGTACATAAGAGGGCATCTTACGTATCAGGGTCTTGCCTATGCTTTAGTGATCGAATGCCAACTCGGTCTGGTTGCGGCGCAGGTGTAATAACAGGCAACGCAGCGCTGTGTACCAGTCCAACCAGACCACCCAGAGCCAACCAATTCCATCCTCTTAACGAATGCATATATGCGGAGCGAGTGTTGTAAAGAAAGTAGTAGTAATAAAAGCAAATGGCGGAGAGTCAACGTTCGTAGTGTCAGCGCTTCATGTCTGGCAACAATGGTACAAACAATCCAGAAGCCGACGCCCAGCAGCAGCGGTGGCCATACTTTTTGACCTGTTCATACCCATGTACATTATTGCATGCCGTCGACGTCCATAATTCGTTGCAGCGAGCAAAGTCGTTGCAAAGTGGCGATTGACTTATAGATCGTCACCACAGCCCGCCGGTCTCTTTACTGCACTTGGAAAATGTCATGCAGATCCAGGGTTTCGTCAGCCGGTTATGAGGTCGCGTACCCGCAGATTCGCCCCTCACTAGCCACAGGTCGGACGGCACTCTTGATCGAATCGCATGTCGAGCTGCCGATTATCCTGGCACGGATGCTTTGGGGGAGCGTTCTGAGTGGGTCAACGGCAGCACGTGGCTGTGCAGCTGCTGGGGGGTTCGCTTCGCTGCCGAACTGGAGAACACTGTGCCGGCGAAGCGACGGGATCTGGATGTCGCGTAGATGTTTGATGGGCGACTTTTGTAGGAAAGATTGGCAGACGATGACAACGTGACGTTCGACGGATATTCTTTTTATTTTTGGATCAGTGGTATCGGTGCACGAATGCTAGCCAATGATCGTAAGTGCGCGGATGGTTTGGTCAGTTCCTTCCATCTCGCGTCGGTTGCGCGCTCAAACGCGCCCGAAGAGGCAGTCACCATAGCCACCAGCGATGACTGTTCTTTCCAATCGCAAGAAAACTCCAACGCAAGCTCTTATCCACTCGACCCAACTAACCTTTGTCCACGATCCTACCGACACCAGCAAACTGCGGCATGCACCCCATGCAGGAGATTGGTTCTTTGCCTGCGTACCTGCGCCATACCGAAGACGAGGTTCAGGAACGGGACGAACGCGGCATACGCGTTAGGTGCGCGAGTACTTCGCAGCGTCCAGTTCACGTTGCAAGCAAAGTACGAGCGCCCATTCTGAGGAACGCAGATGGTGCCTACAGCATCATTGCCTGTGCATTACCACAACCAAAACACATCCAAGACTATGACGCGTAGCATAGTCAGGATTGATCTCTTTCCCAGCTTGAGTCGGATTCTTTCCTAAGCGTTAGGACTCTACACACTATGACGACATTTAACAAACTGCCACTTGCAGGTCGGCCATGCGATCGCACACCTAATGTTATAGGGGCTGGTCTGTCGCCCGCCACTGCGATACGAACCCAGCATTGTCGACATACTTTCTGCTTAAACGATACAGGGTCGCCTCTCTAGAGCTAGGTTCCCCGAATCTCAACGGGAATTAGCAACAGGTGCTACTAGCAGGCTACGGCAACCTTCATCTTGGAAGCGCAGTTTCGTTCGGACCGCCTAATCACTATCGACCAAGATCCAGGATCCATCAGCTTGAAGGTCGACATATCTTTTCTCGATACCTTGACATTGGCAGGAGTCAACATGGCAACTTACGAGGGAACAACCAATTGAAAGAAGCGACGCTAAGCTGATAGCTCGTGGACCTTGTCTGATTCGTGGATCTGGTCGAATAATCGACGATGTCCGCCTCGGGTCAAGTTCTGCGGCACCCCACTTTCTTGAACTCAGACTTCTGTCAACCGAGCAAGCAAGAGTTGTCCAAATCCGAGATATATCGGTCATCCATTCTCCTCATTCCATCAAACAGGGCTCGTTGGTGTAGTTGGTTATCACGTCAGTCTAACAAAGGTCCTCAAAAGCCTTGTCAGTACACTGAAGGTCCGGAGTTCAAACCTCCGATGAGTCATCATCGGCGTTCGCAAGAGCGCATTTCTCCTTTTTTGCTCCCTCATACCTTTGCGAGCATCTTTTTGACGTTGCAAAGACGGTGGACGTTGCAAAACGCAACTTTGGGCTTTTTTTTTCGATGCTGATATAGTCTACAATGTCTTCGATGCACGACATACATACTGACTGCTTGGTTCAAGGCTTTAACGCTGCAGCGTAAAAAGTCCACACGTTTGGTTTCACTATTTTCCTTACGTGGACCTAGTTCGCAACTTCAATCACGCATCCTGGAGCACCATCTTAGTGCCGACAACGAGGTAGACACGGGGTACATTGTGCAGTGCTCACGACACATCAACATGTATAGTCTTGTACCACACCCAGCATTTTATAAGCACTTGCTCATCACGCTATGCACAAAGTTAGGTCATTAAGCAACAGCAAAGTGTCTTCGGTAAACGATTGGTTGAGGAAATCTTAGCTATCCTCTATAGTCTTCGTGTGCCTGTTAATGGCAAAGTATGTACATGGAACGTAAAAATGTACTACTTGAGTGTTCTTTTTTGGGTGGCAGGGAAGCTCCGAGATGTGGATGCGCCATGGCAACGCGTAGAGAAACTGTCATCTGCTTTGAAGCATGGCTTAGTAGGAGCCTGTGTTCATAGCGGCATGTCCGTCGACGGTGACGGTGATTGTCGCCTTTACCGTCTCAGTGACAACAGCTCCGCCCGTGCAGGAAGTAGCATCTGCAACTTCAGACGCAATCGGGGTGGGCTGCGCAGCATTGTAGCCGCCAGTTGGCTTGCCAATCTGCTTATCAGGAAGCACGGCGCTGTAAGATGAGAAGGCGCTCATGGGGAGAGGAGTTGCGGCCTCTCCGACTACCGACACTGCAGAAGAGACGTTGGGTAGGACCGCGGAGTAGACGCCGGAGGGGGCAGCCCCATATACAGATGAGACGGCAGCCATGGAAGTAGGGCGTACGGTTGCGGAATAAGTTGCTGTGCTGTTGCCAGCAGGGGCAGGTGCAGCAGTGCAGCCTGGGCCAGATGCTGAGGTAGCAGAAGCAGGGCCAGACTGGATAGGGTTGCAACCAGGGAGAGCATCAAGGACGCTTCCATCGTCGCCGCCGTATGCCTCCATGGCAGAGCAGCTTGCCCAGGACTCGTCGCTGTCCTTGTTGACATTCTCGGAACCGAAGCACTGTTCCATTTCTTCCTGTCCGCATCCGCAACCGCACTTGCAGCCATCGTTCTCACTCACAGCCTTCTCGAGGACACCGGTCTCCCATCCGTTCATCTATTGTCATATTAGTAAGGGCATATAAGAGGGGTGTAGAAGAACTTACAAAGTCACCGTGGAAGCCGTAGCCAGTTGGGTCACCGTTGGACAAGAGCCAAGGAGCCTCATCAGGACCAAATGTAAAGCTGGTAACATCCCACCAGTACTCGATGAAGAGAGTCGGGAAGCGCGCAGCCCTGTGAGTGGTTGGGCAGTTCTCGATACCGATGCCAGCGTTGCCGTTGGGGTAGGCCATGTGCGCATTGGGGTTCTTGGGATCCATCTTCTCACCGTTCCAGCAGGAGGGGAAGGTGACTTCGGACGCGAAGCCGTACTTGCAGGTGCTGAAGCCCTTGGGAAAACCATTGGCGAAGATGGCTGTGGAGCCACCGTCAGGCTCGTGGCAGCCCCAACGAACACCGGCTGGGTTGTCGCCATCCGAACGCTTGAGCGGGCTACCAGCGATCATGTTGAAGTCCTCTGGGTACGCCGTGACGTTTGCCCAGTTGTTGCCATCCCCGTACTTGTAGTAGATCTTGGTGGACAGCTCGGGTACGCGGTAAAGTTTGGTTCCGTTGGTGAAGAACAGAGTAGGGCGCCAGTACAAGGACTTGTCGGTTTTGACACGAGCAGTGGTGCAGTCCGAGGCCTGGGTATCAGCAAAGCCCATGGACTTGGAGAGTCCATTTCCTCCGTCGAAAGAGTGGAGATGAGGGCTCTCAGTTCCGGGGAATAGACCGGGGTCGAGACGCTGGTAGCTCATGGCATTACCAGCGCGGTTGTAGAAGCTGAAGTAGTTGCCAACGCATTGAGCGGAGGCAGTTGCGGCAAAGCCAGCCGTGAGGGAGATGATATCGAAACGCATGGCTGCTTAGTGGTAGTGCTCGGGTATATGGTAAGTGGATCTCAATTGTAAGACAGCGAAAAGAGTGAGCTGTTTGTTAATGAAAGGACCGAGTCACAGACTCTAGATGCTCTTGATGTCAAAGGAGTGTATATGAAGAGCCAAAAGAATGAAAGAATGGTATTCCCGTACCGGAAGCCAAAGAGAGCGATGGGAGAGCAAGCGACAAGAGCAAGAAACGACGGGCAGGGTGCTGGGTAAATATACATCGACACCCACCTGCACCTGGGATTGCATGCAGCCTGCTGTGGCCAGTCCACGCTTGAGGCGCCCCATTCTAGGACGAGATTAGCTGAGGCTTCCAAAAGTTTGACTATGTGACTAGATTCGCGTATGTGCGTCGTTGTTTCCAGGTGGAGATCTAAGCCAGGGGAGCCGCGCGCAGTTCGTGGGCGGCGCGGGCGTCAGGGGTAGGATAAGAGGATCCCACTCCGCGAGTCACAAAAATACTTAGCAGTGACGCCCAAATGCCTTCAATCTGCAGCGAGGCTTGCAGTACGCCGTCGCTGTCTGAAACAAGCCGATATACGGTTCACGCGACGCCCATTGTTTGCTTCCCGGAGTCTGGACGGTAGTCAACGTATCGATAGGACAGAAACACACATCCCGTTCCTGACGGTGTTCGGGGCGCTTAGCGTCACGATCGTCGGAGGCGAGGCATCGGTGGCTGATCTTCAAACGGTGCTGACTCCCCCTGCCTAAGATTAATGTCCGCGCGCGCTTCGATTTGCTGCAAAAGTTTCTTTTTAGGCTTCGAGACAAGGGCTTTGATAAGGAGGACAATCCGGCAAAGATGCTTTCTTACAGTGAACCCACCCAAAGTGGAGCTGTGTACTTTTACCGCTGGGCCGCGACGGGAGTCACCCAAAGGATCGCCCCGGCATCTGGAAACGAGATTTTCGCAAGGACCGCTTGCTGTCTTTAGATATGAACCAGGGCAGTGGTAATCTTGACGACCTGTCATATCCTGTATGTGGAAGTAAATCGATAAGAACCGCACACGGACTTTCCAAACTCGTCGTCACTCTGCACGGCACAGTGAGAGATGACAGTCCGTACCTGGGCACAGCATGTGCGTGGCGTCGAATAACAAGTTTGTGGTGACCTGCAGACTGGGTCTAGCAGCCAGGAGAACCGATGCAGCTCTCCTCTAGTTCAAGACTAAGCCTGCAAGATACGTGTTCCTGCGCGTACCTGGCAGAAGTCTCCGTCCGGTAGAGAGCGGCCACCATTCAACAAGTTCACAGTAGTCGGAGCGTGGACCCTTTGCCATTTAGCCCGATGTCTGAAGTCTCAACGACAGCTCAAGACACGGCTGGTATCGATAGGGAGATTACCATCCCTACTATTTGTGAAACGCACAGTACTCATAGCAGAAGACGTGTGGTCTGGACCAGACTTGATCGACATACCACGTGTTGCTGCCCAGACGTGGAGTCGAGGAACTTCGCTGTCGTCATGATTCGTCTCGAATGGGGCCGGCATTGTAGTGCCTAAGGATGGACAGTATCTCTCGATAGCACTGTACGCGCGCAAATGTTCCCTGTGTGATGTTTCAACGCCATGAATAGGACGTTGACAAGGAAGGCGCGTAATGAAGGCCTGCAAAAACTTGTACTGTGATACGCTGTGGAGCATCCCTGTACTACCAGTAGGCGCTCCGTACATTTCGCGCTTGTGTTAACATATGTGGGTGTGAATGAACCACAATTGTTGAGCTTCCACGGGACGAAGCGACCGGTACAACAGAGCGGCAGCGTGCCGCAAAAGAACAAAACTTTGTTTTGTCTGATTAGCAGAGCCTTTTGTTTCTGGAAGGTCTAATAGATTCCCAGTATCTAGGAGAAGGAGCAACATAGGTGGAAAGACGACTTGGCGGATGCCCATGAATCGCAAACCATAGAGTGAATGAAGATTTGTTGCATATCAACTTGGGTTCTGTGCGTATCAACGCCTGAATGGTTGTACTGGCGATTCGCACGTACAATATATATTTGTACTTCATGCCTGTAAACTATCTGATCGACGAGAAACATGGACATCAATCTAATTGACGTCCTTATCGTCGTCTCTATCATAGCTGTGCATATTGAGATTGATCAAATGTACAACCGCTTGACGCAGATGAGACGTATGTCGGTCTGGACTGTAGGTCCAACTAAGCCCTATTTGTTGGGGCAACCTTGAGTCGGTCACGCAGATGAGCAGCGTTTCATGATGTTCTTTCGAACTCGCCTGATGGATTTTAGATTCGTCGCGATGTTAGGTGGGCGCCAAGTGCATGTCATGTGGCTCAAGCTTTCCCACTCAACACACTTTCGACAACACCCCACCGATCGATGCTTCTCTTGACCAGAGCTCCCATTGTCTCTCTCCCCACAACACCCCCACCGCTCTTCTCCACTCGCCTGATGACCAAGTCTTTTGTACCCTTGTTTCCGCCAGCGCAATCCACCATCACACTGACCGTTTCTCTGCATACGCCCTCCTCAAACGCATCCGGATCACTGAGTACAAAGTCTACTGCTTCGTCTTCCTCTTCTCTCCTGCCTTCGAACACTGCGAATGTGCTGGGTATTGGTAGACCACGTAGCTGAAGCTGATGCGCCTCATTTGGTTCGTCCGAGCATAGTATTCCCTCGTACTCTTCGTCGTAGTAAGCGTGTGGAAGAAGTGTATCGCGGAGTGCGGCAAGTATAGATATCCACGCAGCATCGAATGCGTTGCCATCAATGCTGATGAAGAAGACATCGAGGTAGAGGACCCAGTAGCCTTTCAGTTGTGTCTCGGCCTCCGTGTCTGGATCTTCGGGATTTGTTGATGGCTTATATAGTATGCGGAGGTCTGAGGCGCGAAGAAGGTGTGTTGAGTTGAGGAGAGAGCGTATGCGGGTTATAAGTGTTTGCGCATATGTGGACGGTGCATTGCCGGGGATGTGAGAGGGCGTGCTTCCTGTAGATAGTTCCACGTTTGGGACCAAGAGCCTCAGCTCTTCCACTTCCTCATCATCCCCGTCGTCTTCGTCGTCTGCATTCTGACCTGGGTACTTGTAGGTACCTGGTATGTCCTCTTCTTTCAAGATCTCCGCGCGCACTCCGCACACCACACTTGTGTTTCCGAGTCGCACGACCGCACTGCCGTTGCAGTGAGTTAAACTCCCGGTGTTGATACCTGGTGTGCGAAATTCGTTTGCGGTGCGGCCGTTGGCGCGAATTGGCTTCTTCTTCTCAGCGGAGAGATGCGCTTGGAGAAACGGGTGCGGGGAGACAGCGGCGAAGATTGGGCGAGGGAATGTGAGCGCTGGGGAGGATTGGGTTGTGGTGGCCATGGCGAGAGTACTGCACGATAGTTTGCACTTGAGTGTGGGTGGGATATTCGAGGCGCGAGTCGTTAGCACCTGTGTTGACGCTGGGAAATTTTGGAGCTCTGAGCTATGACGCGCTAAGGTTAAGCTTAATGGGTGGGGCCTGGAGATCTTAAGCATAACCTGATTGTCACATTGATCAAACATCCATGTTGGGCCATCATAGCAATCAATCCCACTTGATAAAAATTTAAGACTATATAACCCACGCGCTATGCCCCGGGGTATTCCCATACGCTGTGAGTGAAACGCGACATGCAAACACAAACACTAGCTACATCCGATCTCTGTGATCAATCTGTCCAGTCTCCTCGCAGTTGTAGCTTCGTGAAGCTTCGAATCTATCCTGAACTGAGTCCAGCCTTACCGACCTGCTGTACAGGCGTCCATTTTCCCTCTTTCTTGAACTGATCGCCCCTCAACGTGCCCTCAGCAAGCTGGCTGATCATGTAATCCCTACCCTTGATCATCCATACCATCTGGCTGGGTACCCTAAATCCATTGAATGCGCCCACACCCTTCTGGGTCCCGATGGGGCAGATCTGCTGCTCCTTCAGGTTCGCTGTGTAGTGACGATCGCCCTTGTGAGGCTCCCCGGTCAAGTGGGCAAGAAGGTCGTTCTTGAGGTTGGTCATGGCAGCAGGCACAGCATCGGACATGTCCATGACTCCTCCACGGGTGTATGACCCTGCGTCGCCGACGACGTAGACACGCGGACCGGCGGATTCGTGTTCGACGCGGAGGGTCTTGTCGTTGCAGGCTACGCGATTGCGCGTGTCGAGCCACTCCTTGGGAAGGAAGCCAGTGTTCGGCCGAGAGCCAGTTGCATCAATGTAAATATCCGCTTCTACCGTTTCGCCGTTGCTAAGCTCCACCCTCGTCTTCGCGCCTTCTTCTTCGCCCGCTTTGGTCGACGCAACAACCCTGGTATTATAAGTGACATCGCATCCCAGTCGCTTCAGGAACTGCTCGGCAGTTTGTCCAATAGCTGGGCGGAGGAGAGGCAAAAGCTTCTTGTCACCGCAGACAAGAGTGACCTTTGCTTTCGGGTTCTTGGGCGCAGACGCCATGAAACCAGGTCGACCGTTCAAAATCTCAGCAACCTCTCCAGCAGTTTCGACACCCACAGGGCCACCACCGCCAATTACTACTGTCTTCGCGCTCTTCAGGCCCTCCTGAAAGGCCGTGTGTACTTTCTCGAGGGCCTCGCGATCGGTAGCTTGTGTAAACAGAGGGCTTGGTGTAGTGAATCCAGTTGCTATTACAAGCGCGGCGTACTCGATGTTTTGTTGCTCGCCTGACGCGGTTTCAACACCAACCGTCTGGCTGGTGGGGTCGACGTGTGTAGCGGTCCCCTGGACGAACTTGAATTTTGGGAATGCGTAGGTGAAAGCGGGTTCGATTGGATAGAATGTCTTCTCTGAAGGCATCATCTGCTTAGAAACGCTCTCTCTAGGTGCTGCGATGCGCCACCAAAAATCTTTAGAGGGGTTGACGAGTGTAACATTGTAGGTCACTCCGTCCTTCTTCGGTAGTTGCGGGAGGATATGCTTCAGGGCGTAATGCGCGGCGCTGATTCCTGCGAAGGAACCCCCGAGGATAAGGATAGTTTCGGTGCTCATATTGAATGACGATTAAAGATGCGCTTGAAATGAGTATACTGAGTGAAGAAAAGATTATGAGCGAAACAAACACGTCGCAAAAAGAAAACGTTTGGGAGACGCGTCGATGATAAACTTTAGGCGCGCTTCAAGCCTGAGGGACGCCGTAGGTGGGGAGCCGCCGAATCGTCAAGTCGAGGCTGAATCGAGTGACTGAGACGTTTCATTATAGTAAGCGTGTTGTTAGCCCTTCATAAATAGTTCTCAAAGTTTCCTTATCAGTATTTTAGCCGACATTGGACGTTGCTTATGCTTGGGCTTATGAATCGCAACCATGGCCACGCTGCTTATTCCAATTGTGAGATGTTGGAGGCTTGGGAAAAGGAAGCTAGGGATCGCGTACTAGCTGTTTTACGCCTAACCACGGAACCCATTGTTGCCGAACCCTTGCTGACAATGATACGGATGTATAAACTATGGCAGCAGACAGATTTGTGCTTACGAAGTCGTAACAATTGCGGGGGTATTCCGTCCTTCTGGCGCCTATACCCCAAATCACGAGCTCTGAGGCTTGACACATTAGTTACAGCTGACTCGTGGGATCTTCAACGACTCTTTGTCGCACTACCATCTCGAAAAGCTTCATTCGCGACATTCGATTCATGTGCGCAGTCGTAGGCCTTGGAAACTCGCAGAGTCAAATGCGCGTAGACTCCCATCTTGTGTTTGGTGCGCAGTCATGACATGGGGAGCGTGCTAGAAGATTTTCATTCATATCTGTTCCGAGACATAACGCCAGTCCGGTATCTGAATGCAAGACCCACCGCGACTGCTGACCGTCACGGTCGTTGCATCCATGAAGTCCTCCATATCAATATACATGCGGTAGGCTGTCATTGCACATGACTCCTCCCTGGCTCTTTCCAGTCGTTGTCAAGCTACTTTTTGTGTAACTTCTTACTCGACCTCAGCCTTGGACTCGAAGTTCTCACCAGCGACAAGTTCGGGGATGTCATCATCGTCCTCGTCGTCGTCGTCCTTCTTCTCGCCGTCCTCACCCTTCTCCTTCTGCATGCTCTGGTAGGACTCGGCAAGTTTGCGTAGCGATGCGAGCGAATCTGGGCCGAGCTGGTTGAGGATGCCGGGGACGAGCTCTGTTAGCTCCTTGTCCTCACCGTGTCCGTAGATGGCGAAGGTGTTGGCAGGTACTGAGGCGTGGACTAAACAAATGTGCGCGTCAGTATATGGTGTATTACGAATGTGGGTGATGGAAGAGCGGGTTTAGATAATAGCATGTCTGCTGTATGTCCAAACTCCCCTCTCAACCTTCTCACGGTGCGGAGCTCTAGGATGACGTACCCTTAGGTGCCGAGAAGTGGATGACGTTTCCGTCGCTCTTGAACATGTTGACCTCCTCAATGGCCTGGATGGGCTGGACGTTGAGCTTCTTCAACGCGGTCTGGAGCTTCTTGTCGTCGGTACCAGCGGCCCTGTGGACCTTCTTGACCTTCCTGCGGGGAGTACCCTTGCCGCTATATATCGAGTTAGCCTCGAATCCCTCATATCCATCTGAGTCCTGCTATGCCATTCGCTAGTGATTGGTGGTCGTGGTGGTGGTTTCGGGGTGTCAAGATATTTTGTGGTGCGGGGCTGTCAAAAATAGAGGACAAGAAGCTTGCTTACCCTATACACGCACAGGTTAGCAATGGATACCTCGAGTGATATGACTGCCTGCCGCCCAAGGCAATTCCAGCTCAGAATAGGCGTACATACCAATGCGCACTGACGCTTGCATGCGCGCCAACTTTGCTTGATCCATATTTGCGGTGTTGAGGAAGAAGGATGACTAGGTGGGGAGAGCTGTGCAAGTCGAGGGTCAGCGGTCGGGTTCGGTTTCTTCGCAGATTTGAGCGAGGGCTTGAGCTCAGGGTGAATACGGGATCGGTACGCACCTAAATTCGGGATCGTGGCCGAGACTTGGAGTGTGGTGTTGCTGGTGAAGTTGTTGCGGGCATCGGCGAAACTCTACGGAAGCGCCGATTGTGTGCATGCCTCGCTTGTTGGAAGCTCCAGATCCCCGCAACGTCAGAGTGTCATTCCACACACATGAACGCCAACACGCCGCCATCAAGCTCGCATCTCAAGACTGACCGTCAGCTCACGACGGGCGCCAATTCTCACTCGCAGCGCATTTACGCAAAATGACATGCTTGTCTGTTTCTCGAGACACGTAAATGCATGCTTCACTTAATGGTAGAATGACGCAAGGCACAGAAGGGAATAATCAATATTGGTATACAGCTTTCTACCTCAACACGCCACTATCTAGAGCAGTGCCATTCCAGCCAGACCAACAGCACCCAAAGCCCACGAGGCAACCTTCGCTTGTGTTGCTGCGCCGGTGGTCGGTGTGGCTGATGCTGCACCTCCACTGGTCGCCGAGCTCGGGCTTGCGTCTGTTGATGATGTTCCGTTGGGGTTTCCAGAAATGTTCTCCTGGGTAACACTCATGCCTGTTTGGTTCTTGCAGTCTTCACTGAAGTTGATCTGGGCATTGTTGACCAAGGTTACGTCCGCGCACTATGGACATTAGCGATTCTGTTGTAACGGGGAAGTCCATGAGTAGTAAGCTTACCTGGTATAGACCACCCGCCTCGTGGTTGTTGGTAACGACTTGTATTGAGGCCTTGGTGCCGTCCGAAACGTTCAATCCTGCCGGTACGGCGACCGAGCCTAAGCAAAAGTCTCCAAGCCCTGAGACCTGGAGCTGCTGTTGTGCGACAATGCTAAACCCATCCCCCGGGTTATCGCCAATGGCCATGTACACAGCAACATTCGTTTGTGGATGCTCCATGTGCAGTTGTATTGGGCCACCGCCAATGGGGAAGTCGGTGCGTTGTTGTTGAACATCGTTGAAACCTCCGCACGGGAAGTTGCCCTCAGTGTCGTCGGTGAACCCACGCGCCGCAGGAAACTTGAGTTGAAAATGAGCGAGGGAAAGAGGTAGGAACGCGAGTGTGAGGATGCTATTGGAAAGCATGTTTACGGTTCGGAGGTAGATGTAGGTATTGATGTCAAGGTAGAGAGGAAGACGCGGTTGACTTTGTATAGAGAAGCGCGAGAAAGTCAAGAATGCAACAATGAACAGCAAGCGAACGCTGGGAACTCCTGCCGTATTTATTGCAGCTTAGGTTGGAACGCATCTTACCATGCCGTGTATTCCGTCCAGTGAACCGCGTGCCTCGCGCGTGAGCACTGATGGCGACATGCATTTAACCTGCGTTTCAAATAGGCCGACGATCTAAGCAAAGAACAGTAAGTGAGTGATATTCTGCATCGGCGGCGGCACTCGCTAATGTGCAAGTTATCAGGGTACGGTATGTTGTGGCGCGCTGGTTGAGCAAGTTTATTACCAAAGCAGTGGTTCTATGGCGGAAGCGACTAGCGTCGAACATGGATCTATTCCACCCATGAGAATTCCGGTGACACTCTGAGGCCTGGACTATGGTTCTACACCGGCTTTGAAGATCAAAATCATGGGAATAACACGTTCATGAATCGCATGTTCGGATCTTGTGTGGAACAAGCTTTGTGGACCTGGCGATAACGTTAGCACTTCGTGGGTCAAAATGTTTGGCCGAGCACGGAGCGATAAGAAAGGTTCCGTGAAGCATGAATTAATTGAGGCGCTGATGTGAACAAGCAACTTTGTCATGACAAGTTTTCTTATGAATACATAGGTGTGGTTAAGAATCTAACTTAATGGGCCGCAACTTGGTTGAATCTGCCAAATGCCAGTTCGCCGACAAAAGCACCTGCCAAAACAGACAAAAAGTATCCCACATTATATGTCATAACTGCCAACATGCTGTTGAGGAGTCAGCTTCGACCAAGGCAATGTACAAGCATGCATATTACTTACAGGAGGTATCCGACACCAGCCGCAACCGTCATTATGAGTGCCCTAGGCAGATCGACACTGAACCTCCATGGCTGAATATGAGATACAGGCGCCGAGACAACCCGCACATCTTCCTGGACACCATTTGTTGTAAGAATACCAGTCATCGAGTTGGCGTCATCCGTAGCTTTCTCGATAACCGCTCTTTCGCCAGCAACGACAACATATCGTCGCTTCAAGGCGCTCTTAACTGCTCTGACCTCAAGCAAGGTTTTCGCTGTAAAGACTGCACGGAGGAGGATGGAGAGGAAGATAAGGAAGATGCATGTCCCAGCGTATTGACCAGCAGTCGTAGGGGTCCATGCTTCGGAGTATAGCGGAGTGTTCGTCGCCGTGAAGAAAGCCATTGCCATGCTGCCATGTGACGAAGTACCCATATCCATGCCGCCCATATCCATCGAACTAGTAGCCGTTTCGTGACCCTCGTGAGCGACCATGGTGCCAAGCTGGGTGTGTGTGCGCGCAATCGATGAGAATGTTTCTGACGATGAGGTTCAGAAAAGCGTACGTCTGGGTTGTGTGGGGTGATTAGATATCGAAGACTAGGTACTGAGTTCCAGACTGCTAACTCGGTACTGGGGAGATGATCGCTTAAGAGTCCTTGGTACGTTATGGGGGTTGCACGTTCGCTGGTTCCGATTGCGCAAGTAAAGACGCTTCAGCATGAACGCATAACCTGGGGGCGTTGATTTCGTGTTGCAGTGTATACGAGTTAAGTGAGTGAGTAGGATCTTGCGACACTCAAGAAAATGTCAAGTCTGGGCTGATGCGTGAAGCGTCAGGGCATGTGAGCACATTTCTCGGCACTGCCTTCCCGCCTACAAGTAAGAGAGAGCAATCTCGAAGCCACGGACGGCCTGCAGCGATGCACCTGCAGCTTCGGTGGGCCATGGCGCGCTGCCGGTGACTACGAACGAACGGGCGACGTTCAAAGAGCCGTGAGTTCCAAGAGCGACTTTGAGCATAATTAGCCGTCTTTGGTTAGCACGCGAAGCTTGACCTACGCCACGGCCAGGATGGTGCCCACTGGCCCTCAATCCAGGCCCCGCAGTGCATCGAG